AGTTGTCTTCAGTGTTCGTAGTTCCTTGCTTTGGAACCACTGTCTTTGGTTTAGGCCAGAGGAGAATTTCTTTCTAAACGCTTCATCACCACATTTGAGTCATTAGTTTTGCTGCTTTCTTTGAAGCCAGTTTGAAAGCTATTGTATGTCTTTGGGCTGCACTGGAGAAATTCCTGGGTTGTCAAGCCTGGTCTTGCAATTGCAAGCAACCACATTATGTAAAACTACTCATAAACTAATCCAGGACCATCCTAAATTTAGATATGCTTTTTGTCCTCCCTGACCTGTTTGTGTGGCTGAGAGTCTCATTTTTCTGCTAGTTAAAATGTGTCTGCTCATTTTCATCATGTTCATGGACAGGCTATACTCATTTGTTCTGGTGCTCACATCGCCTTGGCTTAAGTATGTGACCCTCCCTCCCTCCCTCCCGTCTCCTCAATGTTATTGCGAAAACAGTCTGCTTTTTCAATTTTATTTTGGTGTGCTGAAACAGCTAACTTACACTAATATCTTCTTAACTCCTCTCCAGTAGCCCTTCTGTGAAGTTTATGCAACCTTCAAAAATAAGCATGGCCAGAAATAATTATCATAGTTTTCCAGAAGAGATTTCAGCTGTGCCTTGCTCAATGGTGATTAATCAGTCTGTCCAGGAGGCACCTTACTTAGTGTGTCCTGGGACCACAAACGTCTTTTTCATGACAGCATCACATTGATGGGCCACGGTCATCCATCATCAAATAATGCCCCAGGTCCTTCTTTTGCTTTGTTTTCTTTCCAACTGATGAGTTTCCACTCTGTAACACATATGGGTTGTGAGATTTTTATTGCTCTAGGTGCATGTTCTTGTACTTTATACTTTGATATGTCATCCCATTTCTAGGTTATCCAGGTTTTCCTGTGTGATAGTCTCATCTTCCTCTATGTGATAATATTTCCATCTTTGTATCATCATCAGATGTCAACAGTGTAAACTTTCTTTTATTCCAGTTTATCAGTGATTAAAACATTAAACAAAAATGGTTGTAAGATTGATTTTTGAGGAAATCCACTAGTAGCCTTCTTTTAGAAGGTTAATATGACCCATTTTGGAAGTGTTCAGGGCCAGGCTGGATGGCGCTTTGAGCAACCTGGTCTAGCGGCAGGTGTCCCTGCCCGTGGCAGAGGGGTTGGAACTATGTGATCTTTTAAGTCCTTTTCAACCCAAACCATTCTATGATTCTATGATTTTGGTTTGTTTCAGTGTTAATGTGATTTTGCTGAAGACCTCCTAAACCTTTGCAAACTTTGTGTTTGCAAGGTTAGTTACTAGAAGAGAGTAGATGCTCATTCTGTAATGTCTTGTCTTCAAACTCTCTTTTGCTACGTTGTTAGAAACTGTGTATATTACAGTGCTAAGCTTTTAGTTACCTTATAAAGATTTGTGAATAACATTTATTAGTCAGTAAATCCCCTACTTACAAGGGGAATCACTAAAAGTTTCCATCTGGTTGAAACAGAAATAATTTATTCTTTTGAAGAAAAAATAAATCACTATAATACAAATCTTGTTCAACACCCACATAATTTTTCACTGTTAAGCACTTAGCATCATTAAATATTTGGCTTTGTGAAGAGAGAGCACTGAGTGAAGCTTTAGAAAAAGAAGGCATGGTTTTAGCCAATATTTTAATTAAATACATCCATACGTGTCCACTAAAGCAATATATTCTATAATAATTTTAAGATCAATGATATGTTTTGTACTTTAATGGGAAATAAATTTTATATTAAATATGCACTCCATTTTTTAAAGAAAACTTCCCAGCAGTACTTGATTTTAAAGACAGTGTCAACGCAAATCCAGTATTTTGATGGAAAAATCTGCACATCTCGCTGCAAGTGAAAACAAAATGAAACAAAATGTTTCTGCTGTTCCTATTTCTACTCTTTCTTCCATAGGGACAAATATATAAATCCTCCTTTTTGCTTACAATCATTCAAAACAATTAGTCATAGCATTGTGTGATTCCTCTCAATGTTTATAGATTTTCTAGAAATGAATCAAATTTACCTGAAGTATGCTGAAATTATTCCAATACAAGGCACTGATGCTTTACATTTATTTTCCATATGGAAATAACACAATATGCCATAGTTACCTGCTATGACCAGACCCACTTTTGAGTTTGGTCAGTGTGCATCACATCTGTGGACTTCATGCAGGGGCTGGCACCTTGGAAAAGGAAGCCAAATCTTTTCCTGAAACTGTATTCTCATTCCATAAGGAAATCAGTTTGCTTTAGCAAGGCAGACAGGGCAAACTCAATAGCCATGTAGTTAATACAAGATTAGTGAAGCAGCAACAAGTAAACATGAATGAACTGGTGTGCATAAGTGTTGTGTTATCATAATGAAATAAGAGGAACTTGATCCCAGTTGTGAAGAGGAATCCTTAGTCATATAAAGAACTAGCTTGCTGTGAAAGGTTAAAAAAACTTGAATCTGCTTTTCACTGTACAAATATCTATGTATGTCTGAAATCTGATCCTAGGATTTCATGCCTTCATACTTCTATAGGGTCTGGTCCAGTCCAGCTTTTCAAGAAAGCCAGACTTAGCAGCTGTCTGAGTCCCTATGTTAATTTTCAGAACCATGTGGTTAACAAATATTATTTGTCTATTATATTCATTCCAGTGTGCAACAATGTCAGTTGTCTAAAAATAGGGAAATAATAAAATAATCTCGTCTTTAGGTGAGTGGAATTCATATGATTCTTGGACTGTGTGAGGCTATTGCAAGAATTTGTACTGAGAGGCATCACATACTCTACTGCTCCCTTTGTGACTGCTTCCTATGAAATGACTGTTCTCCAGAGCACATTGTTTGATTGTTAAAGGTCAGCTTTTAGTGTAACAAAAAGCACATTTTTCCTGGTATGAAGACAAGCACGACCCTGCATCCTGGGTGGCATTACTTTTTTTGCCATATACTCTTAGATTATTCATTGTAGATGAGGGAAACAAGTTCACTTCCCTCAGGCAGTCTAAGTCAGCAAATAACTTTGTCCTAGGACAGTTTTAAATATTCAGCTTCATGCACAGTTTTCTTTTTCAATATTTTAGTATTAGTGTCATTGAAATGCATACACTTTTTTAATACCAGATACTGCAAGTGTGTTACATTGCATCCTCAATATCACTATTCTTGGCCTGTTGGAAACTATAGGATATCTCTTTCCTGTGTGTCATTGCTGGTGAGAGTTAGCTACCTGTACATATCCAAGCATCTGTTTTCTGCACAACTGTTGACTACAGATCCCATCTTCTATGGTTCTCAGACTGTAGTGCTAATGGACCTTTGTGGTCTCAGTAAAGTGAAGAGAGATACAAGACTGAAATTCATCCTAGTTCAGGCAGTTTGAAATATGTAAGGCATAGTCCCAGTTCCTTACAGTATACTTAATGATCTGAATGTATTCAGATGCAAAGCCCTGCCACGTTCTTGTGCAGCAGGAACTCAGTTTCCCGAGTTAGACCACAAAGGAAATGGTCTTGTGCTTAACTGCATTCCAGTTGTCAATGTCATGATCTACAGAGAAGATGGCTTTATGGTTTCTATAGTTTGTGGGGTTATTTCAGGCATTTTGGAAAGAGGTAGATATTTTTCTTGAAAGTCATTCTTATGTTGCTCCTTCTGGAGAGAAAACTGTTTGTGAAATTCTTTTATACAGTGAGCTCCTCATGAAATAGGCCCATGCTTTGCAAGTGTGTACTCATTTCTATTGTTTAATGAAGGAATAGTTCTTTAAGGTGCATGTTACTGATCACATGATTGAAGCTTTACATGCTTCTGTGTTTGGTAGAAAAGTAGTAGTATTAAACCAATATTAGATGTTATAATTATTCAAGCTTATTAAAAATAGTAAGGTATGTGCAGTTAGCACTTGTCTTTGGTTGCTAGCTATATGAAGTTACTTGGAGTTAATCTATGGATTGTTCATTAACTTTACACAGTTAATGAACACAGCAGACAATATTTTAAGGATTCACCTTTCAAACTCACTGATTGTCCATTGAATTTGTATGCCTATGTTCTCTTTTTCTTATCATGTTATTAATACATGTAGTCTTTATATTACTTGTGTACCCCAGTGTTTCCTGATTCTTCTTTATGTTTTTGTTGTGTAGTTTCTGTTTCCTACAATTTGGCATCTATAACATTATTATTTACTTTGTGCCATCCTACTTCTGAAATGGATTTTATTCTTAAAGACAGAGAAATCTATTTTGAACTGCTTTTTCAAATTTGGTGGTTTTTAACCAAGTGCACTGACATAAAAGGGAGATTACCATTCACTTCAGTGGGTGACAGAGTGGATTAGGAAGGGGGATGCATCTCATCAACTATGCACATTCATAGCATAGCTCTACATCTGAGCTTCACCCCCATCTTCTCTTTGGTGAGAAAAAGCAGCTTCTATAGTATGATTCATTTCATTTTGAATGAATGTCTAAAATAGGTTATGTGAATTGCACCCTCAAAGAGCATATTTCTTCCCACTGAGTATAAAGGGAACTGGGGCTGGTCAGATCTAGAGCTGTGCAATGGAGGAATCAAGTTGGAGTTGATGAATTCCATCCCAGGCTACAAAGTCCACTGTTGCTGGCCAAGCATCTAATGTTTGTTTGAGTCCCATTGACTTAATCAGGACCCTAGAGCATATATCAATGCATTGTAATTTATTTCGATAAGCAGATTTTACTGATTGTTTTCCTGAAGCTTTCTGTACTTATAACCATGTTTCTGTAAAAAATCAATAGTGTTTGTGTAAAAAATTAGTATCGTTAAATAAATTGAAGTACAGAATCTGAAGTCAAAGGCATGATAAGGAGGCTAGTATAATTTTATGTATACTTTTAGGTGCACATTAAAAGAAAATTGTACACGTTCAAACAGCATAAAGGGTTGGTATAATATTTCACATGCACCTGATAAAGATCTGAAAATCCTGCTAAGTTTCCCTGCCAAAAATCAGGTATGTACACCCAGTTTTATGCATGTTTGTTTATTGTGACTTAAAATGTGTCATTTTGTCACTTACTGCAGCTTTCCTTCTTTTGTCACCATGTTCCACGTATTAGTCCCTCTTATCTAGACAATTGGCAAATGTATTGGGAATCCCAGTAAGTTGAATATGTCAATCAGATAGATGTTTTGTTCCTCTCCTATAAAATGTATCCTGAAGCTATACTTCATAATGTTGAGTCAAAAATTCACCCTGCAGACAAAGGCAACATTTCCATTGTATCACTCTGTCAGCTATTTTAATATTTCCAGTGACAATACATCGAGTGCATTATGTAAGTTTTGAGCTTTGTATCAAGTTACAAAGCATTCACTGGGACACATATGCTAACACAAATGTGTCTTTAAGTGCTTGGTATTAGTATTTACTCAGTGCCCGTTCACAGCACACACAGCCTTGAGTATTTGATTATCAAGTATTGTGACTGGCCACTTAATCTGCATGCTATTGTTTCTCGTTTTGTGATTGAATGCACTAATGTGATCATATTTATAAAGCACTCTCAGCCAGAAACAAAGGATAATTCATTACAAGTTAAATTCTGTTTCATAATTAAGTGCACTTTGGTTATAGATGCAAACGTCTCTCTGTGAGGATTTGTATATTCCGGCTCAAATGTTTCTGAAGGACTATAGCAGCATATAATGCTGTTGTATCTAATGCTGTTGTATATAATGCTACTGTAATGCTGTTATAGCAAAATTCTTGCTCTCCTAACATACCTTACAGATCCGTTTGATTTCTGGAAGTAAGCGATGCTGTTCCTTTCAGGACTTTTTCTGTATTGCTTCTTCAGCTGGGAGAGGCCCTCTCCTTTGAGAAGCTACCGAGTCAATTGTCTGATTCCACCACAAATATTTTCATTTTGTGCACTTCCTGATTCATAGTTTGCTGTAAAGACAAGGTGAGAACTTAACAAACATTACAAGAAATCTGTTGTATTCTTGTTTTTATCGTTTTATAGGTTGCTATGGCTGCAAGCACAAGCAAAATCCTTACTTCCTGTATGATAAAGATTATAACACCTGCTGAAATATTTTATGAAAATGTAGTACTGAAAAACTCATCCTGTTTCTGCAATCTAACCACTCTCATGATAACTGATAATGGTAAGTTTTACTAGTACATGTATTTAATGCTTATTCAATGTCCTTTATTACTGAGAACTGACATAAATAGAGGCCTAATAGTGTGATAGTAGGTAATGCTTTTTATTAAATGTCACTGAAAAAAAATAATTCATGTTTTGTCAGGTGATTTGAGTATACTCACACTATTCTTGATAATTAAAGATTTGATAATATGCAGTCCTTTCTAGAAGTAGTAAAACATGTTAACTTACGGTTAGAAGCAACTTCTTCAGTTCAGCCCATAGCAGTGCAGTGTGTTAGCATTAGGAGTATATTTACATGGTTAGGTTAGTATATTTACATGGTTAGGAGTATATTTACATTTACAGTGTCTAAGGAAACTTTAGATAGCTGCAATGACAATCACGCTGGCTGGAGCTATGGAAGCAGTGTGGTTCAGTGCTCTGCCTTGACAAATTAACCCATCTTAACCCTTCTCTCTCTGCAAACAGAATTTGTTTTTGCAGGAAATTGTACTAGCATAAAAAGAGAAAAATCTGACTATGAATGCTTGTACAATAAATAATATTAACATTCAATTAACTGTTTCAGCCTAACTTAGACACTCTGAGAAAGTGATTGTCTCAAGTAGAGGATTAGCAGAAAAATTGAGAGGCAGTTTGACTGGTACATCTTTTTGGCTTAATTTCATTCATCCTTCTGACTTACTGGTTGAATCAATTTGCAATAGATCTTGTACTACTTTGTTCACTAGTAGTTCTCAGAGTAGAGATCTGAGCCATTTGCATTAGACACATGCTGCACGTGGTCTGTTTTGTGCATTTTATGGGCAACTAGAAGTTTTAGAATGAAGTGGTAAATTCCTGAATGTCTAAACATTTGAGTTGTTCTCTAGGCTCGGTCTTACAGATCAGGTGATAATCCTTCACCATAGAATCTTATTTGACTAATAGGAGTAAAACATCCCCCTTGCGTTGCTTCAAGGGTCTATATAGAAGCACAGAGCTTTTATAATACAGGTTGGCCTTATTAATTTTTTGTTTATATTGGAATAGAAAAGAGAGTTTTAATTTAAACTGAGGGACAGAGACAGCAAGCCCAAGGATACCATGTGCTCTTAAGTGACTTGAAGAGGAATCAGAGGATTCAGATAAATGCCTGCCTTTATCTTTTCCTAGATCTGATTCTCTTATAATATCTTTCTATAGTAAGAGCAATGACAGATTTTAAATGACCTGTTGTTCTGAATTGCTCAGTGCTACAAAGAGCTCTGTTTCTCAGGGACCTCTGCCCCTGAAGGAGGTTCCTTGCAATAGTGGGATTTCAGGAGCTCATCCTATGGCCTTTGTATGGGAAAAGCCTCTGGCATCATACAAGGGTTGTGTCAAGTTTCTGTGCAATATTAATCTGGGAATCAAGAAAAGACTGTCACTAGCAGGTGACAGCTAGGGTGATATCCATAAGTATTCTGGTCTATTAAGCTGTCTTCAGTAAACACTGTTAGTGGAATTTTAAGAGGGACAAATGCATTAGAGAATGAAAAAAAAGTCCTGTATTGACTCAGCCTGTAAAGACCTGTTTTCTTAGAATTATGGAGTACATTGCTTTAGTTCTCTGTCTTCTCGGATTATGGTATTCTCTTCCTCCATTAGCAGGTTTTCAGAGAACAGTGTTACAGAGGCCAGCTTGCTTTGCCAGTGCTTTGTGCCAAAGATGGGCCCTTTGACAGTCTTAACCAGAAGGCTGTGATCTTAGCTTGTGCCTCCCACTATTACTGCCACTCATATGCTCTTATGAGCTGAGACTTATTAGTGGATAATGCAAGTGTGGAAATTATGTTGACTCTTTATGGTACCTTATGTAAAGTGACCTCAGTCTCACAAGAAGATGCACTTGCAAAACTCCTTCAGATATAATTTCTGGAAAAAAAAAACATTTTGAAATACCTGCTACTCGGTGCAGTCTGGTGCATTTTGAAAGGTCAGCTCAGGCCATACGGCAAGTGATAGGTTCCATTAATTTCAGCTCAGACAAAATCAGGAAACCATATTTGACAACACTGGTTTTAAAATATTTGTACAAACTTAAAAGTATTTATGCAAATGTAAAAGAGAAAACAAGCTCTGCCAGAAGTAGATCAATTCCTGCCTTTTACTTACTACTCCTAGAAAGATACTATTTTTCAGTAGCTCATGGCTTGAGACCCTTCTCATATAATGAGGTAGGCAAGTGATTTAGGCAATTAGATGCTTGGTGAAGGATTTTAGAATGTCTATGTATGCTTACCCACATCTTCAAGCATTAAACACCTTTAAAAATCAGACTCTCCATTAAGGTGTTTAAGCATACAAACAGTCCCAATGGCCGTTTCTAACACTCAGTGCAGGTGACCTCTGCAGTGTGCACCCAAGTGCCATGCTCACGTGTAGAGCTAGGAGATACTTTTTATTTAACAGTGTAGATGTAGCCAAAGCTGGCTTTCATCTGAGCAAGCCAGCCTGTCATGAAGAGAAAGCTTTCTCTACCTTTGCAAGGTAGGTACACTTTTAAATCTGTGTAACTTTCCCAGATTAAAAAAGCTATCTACTTCCTAGCATAGAGAAGCCAGAAAAGTCTGCACACATGGGTTTCATTTGATCTCAGACAGTCATTCATTTCACAGACGTACACATCTGCAGGCACACAGATGAAAGGGACCATGGCTTAAGTGGTACATATCTAACTCTACTTTTCGATGTGGTATTCTGCTCATAGGAGAAGATACTCTTTCATTCCACAGCTGCCAGTGAATTGTTGGTATAGTAATTGCTAGCTGAAATAATGGCAAATTGACTCATGCAATCATAAAAGATTTAAATAGGATGAAAATTGCTACTGCATAGATTACAAAAGAAGACTTTGAAACTAAGTCTCTGAGACTGAAAGAGGGAGAAGTACGATATGTTGGGGTCTCTCACATTAAAACAGTCTGTTGTGTTAGAAAGCTTGAATTTGGGGTCTGGCTGTGCCACAGTATACCACTGTGTGCTCTCTGGGAGATGATCTTATATCCCAGCCTCATGGTAGCATTTCCTTATCTGTATCCTGACAATAACATTGCTTTTGTACGTCATGCAGTGGTAGCATCAAGCTTAATTAGTGAGAGTGTATAAAGTCTTGGAATAACTCAGCTGAAGGGTGCTATGGGAGGATAAAACTTAGTTATTTTTATCAGTCAAAAGTGTGAGTGAATGTATGAGAGAAGGTGCATAGCATGTAGAGAACAGGTGAACAAGGCACATGAGCTTTCAACTCAGTTATTTTTTACAGTTATTTCTTGTAATATCCAGCATATGTCTAACTGTGACATTTTTCCAGATTGTCTAGTTATCGAAGCATCGCTGTCCTCAAGCTCTTGGAATATCACACAAACATTTCAGTTGAAAAAGTAAGAGACTGGTTCCTATTGAAGTTCACTGAGAGGATGGGGTGGGGGGGAGGAAGGGGGCCTGAAGTATGATAGTTCTTTTTTTTTTTTTTGTATTTATTAATGAAATACATTTCACTAAAGATTATCAAATCCCTTTTCTTGGCCCATTTCTTCCTTCTCCTCCTTTTTTATTGTCCTCAGAAAGCTACTTCTTCTGATGACTCTTTTATTTAAGGGGACCCTGGCAGCTAGCAGTAGGAAAGTCATTACAATGACTGAATTTATGACAAGTGCCTGAAGTTATAATAAAGGATGTCACAATGACATTACAATCCTTTTTGTCCTTGTGAAAAAGGTGGGCTTCTGATACTCAGAATAAGACCTAGATTAGAGGAGTCAGGAGATTCTGTAAAAGTTATTTATGGAGCTGTTTTTTAATAGAGCCAGATACAATTTAAATATGGTCCACGGGTAACATAAATACAATTAAAACAGAAAATGACATCTAATTGCTTATAGGAATAATGAATACCTATTGTTCTGTGCACATTATTTTTCAAAGCCACACACTTTGTTGAGAGCTCATGGTAGAAAGCATTTCTGCTCAGTACATGGCCTAACCCTTTATGATACCTGGTTGTTAAAACTTTGAAAGATCTGGTTAACAAATGCTGTAGGTAACTACAGTGTTCCTGTTCAGAACACTCCTCTGCTATACACAGAGGTTAATTCGTGGGCACTTGGGATGAAATTGAACTCTTTCTTTTTGGGAAGTGGCACGTCACTTCCCTGTCCCTGGAGCAATACAGGGAAGGAGCTGTCTTTCTCTAAATCAGAGCATTTCTCAGCATGTGTGGAGAGGGCCTGTGCTGCTCTTGGCTCTCCTCCATGCTGATAGATGCATTGCAAAGCAAGATGGGGACAGATTAGTCTCGAACAGGCATATTTTATGGTAGGGGAAGGCAATAGCAAACTAGCAGTACTTGCTAGCACTACACACACAGAACAAAAATTCAGGCAAGCTGTGAGTCAGTGACAGTTTTCTGCCCTTTTCTGGTTAAAAAGTATTATCTGGCCACTTATGTACTGGTGAAAACCACAGCAAAATGAAACCCAGCGTGTTCCATCTGCTTCATGCTTTTTGGAAATTTATGACTCTCAGCATCTCAGCACAGACTGTATTTCATACTAAATTTGTCCTCAGAATAAGCACAACAGAACAATAGGCTTGGAGAGTAAATGCAGGTTATGTGGTTTACACATTTCATTACATGTTTGTCAGGTTGTTTTGGGGGGTTTGTGCTGTTTTCTGTCACTTGAAATTTTACATTCATGGCTGAATCTAGATTGAGTTCCTGTGTCTTGCAAAACTTCTGTTTTCTGTGTTCCCAGCTGCTCACAATGTGTACACAAGGGTGAATGTGCCAGCTGTAAATGGACGCGTGTCTCTCCTGCCACCACCTGCCAGGTGAAGTTTGTTGGGAAGGACTGGGATCCCCTGTGGTGCCTTTTCCTTGTATTTCTTACATCTGAGCAGCAACCTGTCTCTTCCTTGTCCTGACATGCAGAAATGCTGATTTTTTTTTTCAGGATAGTTGTAATGCAGCTGCTTCCAAGGGGATCACCACTGCGCAGAGAACAGAGGTTAGTTAGCATTTTAAGATTGGCATTATTGAGTTTCTGTGGGTTGGAGGAGAAATTTATTTAAAATGAAAGGACTCTGCAGGAGGAGTAGAAATCTGGATGAGGAGGCAGTCAGTTGGTTAAATAGAAAGGTAATGCAGAACTTGATACTATTTTTTTCTTAGTACTTTGTTAGTGCTTAAAGGTACCAACAAAGATTTACATTTCAGATCCAGGTATTGAGACAGTGAGCACCGGAGTAGTCATGTGCCTACCTCTGGATAGAGTATTTACAATATTGTTTCAAATGCCAAAGTCCATGTGCGCTGTATTTAGGCACTCCACAGGAGCCAGCATACTGATGGCTGGGACATGTAAGCTTACCACCACCACCAACAAAAAAAACCCAAAAGAAAAATAGAGGAGAACATCTTGAACTTAATCTTTTACCTAGTCTTAAATGCATATTTGAATTCTGCTGTCAGAGAACTCTGCTAAGTTAGGTTTCAGAGTCTCAAACTTCCTCCTCATTTCATGCAGTCAGATCACAGCTTCTCCTGAAACATAGCTGCCAGGGGAGCAGAATTAAAGGGGGGATGTGCCATCCAGTTTCTGCATAGCAGACAAGTGGCTAGAGGATGCGCCCAGGAACTGCAATCGTTGGGTGTTAGTAAATCCCTGGTTCACACTTCCAGAAAAACATTCATTGCTTCCAGGCTGTAGACAAAACTGGAAGTGGAGCTACTCTCCATCTATCCTGCTCAAAGTGGACCACTGAAAAGGAAGGAGTGACATTGGTGCCAAAGTACCTTCTGAATCTGGTTGTTGAGTTTCTGTTAAAATCATACTCACATACAGTCTTACATGATTTGCCTCGCAGGGCAGCCCTTTAACCACAAGGTTATCCCTTCATTCTCTATGGTGCCAAAATGGTTTTATTTTCTCGTAAAACTAAGTGGTCTTGTCATAAGTGGTTGCTTATGACATGCAGGTGTTAGGGAAGAAATGAGTAGTGAAGAGAAATATGACTGATGAGTAAGTACATAGAGATTTGCGGCCTACGCTTTTTGGTTTCTGCTTTTCCATGAGTGATATCATGGTTGGTATAAATAGCAATTGTGTTCTTATCTCTGCATGTTTTGTTAGAACTACCCAAACTTTTACCTGGGAAGACAGGAATTGCCTCTTAAATTCAGCTGTTCAGTTGAGGTTTCTTAAAAAAAATCACAAAATCCATTTTGTTTTTCTCAGAGATGAGTGGAATTATAATACTTATGCTTCTGAGCATTAATATTCTGGATTTGGTCTGCATATAAAGTATTAAGGCTGATGAAAGAACAGAAGAAATTCTTCTTTGCTCTGCTTCCAAGTGCATTAATTTGACATTGGTAAATAGGTGGAATTGCCTGGGAGATGGCTTTCTTCCACATGCCTTATCTTGGATAGACAGTGATGGACAAGGTGGTGAAAGCACTAGAGGCAGTCCAAAGGCAGATGTTTATTTAGAAGTGATTGATCCATTCAGAGGGCTTGAAATTGCATTTGAAATCCTACTCTCCTTTGACTGCTGGTGCTTTAAGGAGAACATACTGGCGAGCTGAGAAAGGGGATTTGTGTTTTCCCACAGCCCCAGCCCAGCATTTAGATTAATATACTTTTTTTCAGTGGAAGCCCCAGCCCTCCTCTTGAGTCCAGCTGCTGGATTCCATGCATGCACCTTCACGCTCCCAGCGCCTGAGCAGCAGTGAGGATGGTTGCACAAGTACACTTAGCTGGGGAAATTTGATTTGGCTGGAAATAACCGTTGTCTTTAGGCAGGTTATTTTTCATCTGGGCCACTTCCCTGATCCAGTTCCTCACACGGCCTTGGGGCCCTATGCTGGCACCGCAGGAGGTGCTGCGCAGGAGCAGGGTTTTGCTCCCTGGGGTGACAGAGCCTGCTTAACCTGGGCCACTGCCAAATATCTCAATGGGACCTGCAGTCATGCTAGCCACACCTCTGAGAATGTGGCTGCCACTGTTTACACAGCCCCAAGGAAGCGTTAGGCTGTCCAGAGGACATGGCAGGGGGGCTGAAGCTCAGAAACATGGAGCTTTATTGAAGTTGACAGGGCTGTGCTGATTTACATTACCTGAGGACCTCGTGCACTCTTTCTGTATGTCTCTCTGCATTTACACTGCTTCCATCACATGCCTCACAACTAGTGATTTTTATAAATATCCTTCTGCCTTTCCACTGTCTTCCTTCCCTCTCACTGCCAGGCGTCTCTCCCCCAGCCACACAGCAACTGGAAGGTCAGTGGCCCTTGGCGACTGAGGAAATGAGCACTGGGGAAACAAGCACTGCAGACCCCAGTGAGGATGCTTGGTCCTTCCCACATTCAGTGAGGAAATTCACAGTTTCTTTTGCTGCTGAGGGAAGTGTCATGGACCATGGTGGTCAAGCCAGGAAGCAGGCTCCCAAGTAGCTGAGGCCAGCTTGCCTCGACGCTGCATGTGACTATGCTGATGCCACAAGTCCAAGGCAGGACATGGCAAGGGGGTCTGTTGTGTAGCCACAGGGAAGGCATGACTTCAGGGAGGGACTGAAACTTCCAGAGTGAACCATTCTTCATGGGATTTCTTCTTGGTGTAAGAAAAGAAACAAGGGGTGCTAAGCTGAAGTGCCCTGTGGTGTGTGGTCCCTGGCAGGGAGGCCAGCAGGAGCCGAAACAGTGTTTTACTGCTTTCTGTAGTGTTTGGGTTCTGGGTTTCTGTTTGAGGATATTGACTGTCCTTGGTGTGCTCAGGTAGGGGATAAGCATAGAGAGAGAATGTGGGTAGAGAAAAGCACTGGTATTTCACTGGCTTTAGTCTCTCAGATTTCTGCTTCAGTTGTCCTGCTTGTATACCAAGGGTTAAAGTGACCCTCTGATCAGAGTGAGAGTGAATTTTCCCCCTTAGGGGTTTCTTTTGCCCTCCTCAATTATCCATGCCAGAGGTCACCTTGGAGGCCTTTTTGCATTCCCTCTGGCCCCAGCCTTTGCACTCTTTTGTGCCTTTCCTAAGGCACCAGTTGCAGCTTTCAATCAGTTGTGACAAGTCTCAGATTTGCTGCAGAGTGCTCTGGTGTTCTGTGGGCAGTGGTATCATGTGGGGACAACTTATCCCAGGGACCTTTCTGAAATGGGCAAGGTTGTATTTGCAGGATGGTGATGTGACTCCAATAGTCCACTCAGGCCACCAGCCCAAAGTCACGGTGCTGCTCTGAATACATGAAAAATCAGTGGGAAGAAAATCCCTGTGGGAAGGACTTCCCTAGAGGTTTTGCACCAGCACCCATCTCATGCTCAGGAAGGATGAACTGCCCAGTGGATGTATCCACAGGTGTACAGCAGAAGTTAGGATAATCACAATACTCTAAAAACTCACTTTAAACTGGTATTATAGGCAGTCTAAAAGCAAGCTAGAAATCATTTGCCTAAGAAGGTCCCAAACAGTTTGTGGTTTCACATGCATATTTTCCTGTTTTATGAATGTTTTCTGTTTGTTGTCTGAAAGTCACACAGAAAGGAAACCGTCTGTGTGACTATAAAACTGGGGAAGCAGCAAAACTGATTAAACATGAGATGCTGTCAAACATATCAAGTAAATACACTAGGGAAAAAATCTCTCTTCTAGCTTGGTAATGTTAGTAAGTTAGAATAAGTAAATATAAAGATACACAAAGAAAAACACAGTTTAAAAACTGGCCACATTTCTGCAAGACTGACAGCATCAGAGCAAACTAGGATTGTTTTTAAACGCTGGAATATAGATTTGTAAATTTCTTAGCATCAAAACGGGATACCAAAAAGTCCCCACGGTTATGTTGTACCTTTAGTTCTATGTGTGACTTTGAAAAGACTTTCTAGTAAAGCTAATTCTGGGGCTCTTTCTCGACTTTTCATTCTAGGAGTTGACCCTGCTTCCCCTTTTCAGGCCACAAGAGATGCCTTCATTTGTTTCTCCGATCTCTCATGGTGACAGCACCATGGGTTTTGTCTTGTGTTGCTTCTTAGTTCTTCAAGGGTCACACAAAATTAATCATTTCAAGCTGGATTTTTATGATACTTACCTTCCAGTATGTCAGATTGTGATTCCTCTGCACAATTTGGCAATGAGATAAATTGAAATATAAAATATGTAGGTAAAAATAGTTGGTTTGTAAAGAAGTTGTAATTGACAGTACTTCCCAGCATCAAGCTTAACAAGATCGAAATTAATAAGAAAAATGTTTCTCATTGCCATAAAACCTACATTCTGCATTCCTGAGTGGTGATTGTCTTCGCAGATGTTGTTTAACTGCTTAGCCCTTTTATAACCAGATTTTGTTTTGCTTTGTTTTTTGATAGCATATCAGCATTCATTCCATTGAACCTTTGTGGATTTCTACATTAGGCAAAAGTGAAATAACAGTCAAAGGAGAAAACTTTACACGAGCATCAGGCATAAAACTGATACTGACTGGAATCACCGGCTGTAAACCAGACATGTGAGTTAAACTCGGAAAAATACTCTTTCACTCCCATGGTGAAAATTACGCCCATTTTGCCCTAGCAATAAAGTTGTGTGAATGGTTTGTCAGGGGCCTTTCCTCAAGTGGATGCTCTGCACAACTTTAGTTATACTTCCTCTTTAAATTCCTGAAGGATGGAGATGAATTTGGTGTTTGGGTACAATACAAGGGATGGATGGGGAAGTGGGTGGTTCTGTCAGCAGTAGTAGGACAGTTCTGTACCTGTGCCTTGCAAGCACCTCTTAGGTCACAGGAAATCCTCAGCTTTTGTTTGACTCTCCTCTGCTTCAGAATATTCCCACTATATTCTAGGATTCTGCTTGTGAAATCACAAACACCATGCCAGAGAAGGGAATCTCTCATGAAATAGCTTGTACTTTTCTCTGTTGATGATTGCACAGTGCAACCCCCTAGATAATTAGGCTGTCTTATTCTGAATCAGTCATTTTCAGGTGCAGCTGCAATGGCTGTGTGTGATTGCTAAGCCCATTTTGCATAGCTAGCGCTTGAAAAAGTATTCATATGATACTGTTCAGTTTTTACTGCAACCATGATTTTCCTGGGGACCACAGAAAACAAAAGGAGAAAAGGAGGGAGAGGGAGGAAGTAGAGAGAAAGAGGAAGGAGGGAAAGGGAGAAAGGAGGAGTGAAAGAGAAGAAGAAAAATAAGAAAGAAAAGGAAGCTGAAGATTCTCATTCTTTACTAGCACAAAGATGATATTGGTAGCACAGAGAAGTATACAGTAAATAGCAAAATCACACATTGGATTACATAGTCTCATCCCAAGGCCATAAGATCAATATCTGAACTGTCTTCTGTGATTATTGTGACACACAGTAACTTCATTCCACAGGTGCCCTACTTTGTCTTTTCAACTTCCAGCTCTGTCTTTCCATCTCCATCTGGCAGCTCAAAGAGAGATTTCTCTTTTCTCCTTACCCTTTGCTTTAGGTGATAGACTTCCTGAAGCAGCACCAATGAGTAGCATAGTGGCATCTGTGTTTCATCATCTGACTGTTTTCTTTCTCCTCCAGCATTAAAGTTAGAAATGTGCTAAACGATACACAAATGACATTTGCTCTCCCACCAACACGTAAAGAGGCCAAAAGTATATGTATACAGGCTAATGGGAAAAAATGCTCACCACCAGTGACCCTGCATTATGTCTCACCACCATCATGTCTTGGAATCACACCAAATACCTCCTGGATCAGGTAAATTTCTCTTTCTATACTTTTTGTGTATATATTAAATGTAGATTTTATGTTTAACATATAGTCCCACTGAGCTGATATGAGCCTCCTTCCTTGACTCGACTGCAGTTGATGTAAACTTGGATGACTGCTGTAACCTGTTGTGGAGAATGAATTTACGCTGGTGAACTGATTTAACATTTAACATACAGATAGGGTCACGATAGCTGCAAGATGGATTCTGTGTTCTGCGGGATTCTGTAAACTCCTTCCTGCCCACCCCAAGTCTCCTTTGTAGAAGTCAAAAATAGTCTCTTTGTACTAAAGCTAAATCCAAAATACAGGTAGCATGCATAAATTCGAACTTCAGTTAACTTTCATTTCTTGATACTAATAGACCCTTCACCTCCAAAACAGTATAAGGTATCAGTGAATTAGAAATGAAGTGAAAATAATCACCACTGCAGTGATACACACAGACTTGCTGTAGGACGGGTGTTCCCTAAGCCCGAAAGAGACCATTTCAAGCTTCTGTGGTGATCTCTGGAAGACTCACAGATCCAGTGAAAGACTTAGAGGGTGGTTTTAAGATATTCTCAGGCACAGCTTTCTACCTATCCATCTGCCTGCACAGTTATTAACTGCTTTCACATTCTTAATATGGTATCTTGGTGTCAAGCACTGGTAAATGTGGATTTGAGGTAGAGTTGGGCTGGCAGCTGCAGCAGCTGAGCAGCTACGATGCATGCCCTCATCTCCAGGTGAGAGGCAGCTCAGGCAGCTGGAAATTAATAATACCTTAAACCACTCCAACTGTGTTCAGCAGAGGTTGTGAGCCAGAGCCCTCAGACACAAGCACCATTGTGTGTGCTGAGACAGATGGTCTGAACACTGCCGAGAATGTTTCCTGTGAGGTGCCTGGCACCATCGGTTCGTCCTGAAGAAGGCAAGAATTAAGCACAAGCAGGGCTGCTCTGGGGCAGTGAAATAACATGATCCTCTTTCTTCTAGACAGAATATTAAATCACAGTCTAGTTCTCTGGCTGCATGAATAGAAAACAAGGTGGAGAGTGCCTGAGAAAGAGTATGTGTGTGTATTCGTTACTTGTCATTTGGTTTTGTGGTAGCAAAAGTATTTACCATTACATTATGAGGAAAGAATGGAAGTATGCTGTATAGCTCTAATTATCTTGTCCTCCAGTTTGACTTTATTATATTGGCTGCTACCAAAGCAAAGTAGTTTATTCACGGCTGAAGCTGTAATGCAGGACTTAGCTGTGGAAAACCAGATAATATTAAACTCCCTTCACCCCACTCTTTGTTTTTTTACAGTGGTGGTCGTAAAATTACTACGATTGGTAGAAATTTTAATGTCGTGGACAGTGTGATTATTTCAGATGACCAGAGATCAAACCTTACTGTAAGTCTTAATCTCCTTTGTAATACCAAATGCAGGCTTCTTGATGGATTGGGTTTTGTTCCTAAGGTTTAAGGAGAATCTCGGTAGTTTTTAAACTCTTGCAGGCACACATTAGTCACCCTACTGAAATAAATATGACCACTTGTAGGATTACAGTTGCACACATTCCTAGTACAGGATCATGGATACACGTAAGCTATTCTCCTGCATGATTTCCTAAACCCTTTTTCTACGCTTTAGAGACTTGTTTCAAATCTGTCCCTTTTGAGTCTCTCCAGCCTCCATACATGGATCAGTTGGAGGAGAGTATGGTTTACTTCTCTCTGGCTTTGTGTTGAGAACCCACATGGTGCCACTGCCTCAGCAAGGGGCCACAGACTGGAGCTGATGTTGGGATGAAACCCTTTCTTCGAGGCTGTGAGGAGATGGGCACCCTGCTGACTCCTGGGCTTGCAGCACGGAGACCAGAAAACAGCAGCACCACCCCATGGAGTGAACAATGGGGTGACTGTAGCAACCCCCATCTCTCAGGAGTTAAGCTGGGGAGAGCCAGTGCCCAGGGGTGCCAGAGAGCTTGTCTTGCTCTTCTATTGTCACCTACATTGAGGGGAAGGAAGGAGAAATCACTGTCACTATTCCTGTCTCACTGCAGGAAATATCTGCCTTAGCAGCATGCAATCAGCCTTAAAGCAGTGTGCAGAGTGTGTGATAAATGTGCTTAAAGGTAGACACAGGCTCAAGACAGAAATTTTCTCAGGTGCTCTGCATGCAGTCCTCATCGAAAAGAAGGGGTTTAGCAGACACCTGTGTGAAGTCAAGAAGACATGAAAATGGTTTTGAGTGCCTCTGTTTGTAATTGTACCCACTGTTGAGTACTTAATGACTGTTACAGCTTTGCTATTGCATTTCTAGGTCTCTAGGTGTCCTGGAAATGAATCTGAATATCATTACTTAACGCCAAGCCTGAGCCATGCAACAGAGGGTAAAGTTGTTGATATGATGTTAAAAGTGGAAACTACCTTTATACCATGTGTCAAATTACACTATCACCCTGACCCAGTGTTCATTAACTACCAGCTGCACACTGAGCTTGATCCTGATCTGGAATTGAAAATATATGTAAGTTTTAAAGTAATAAAGTATAATTCCTTATTTTAAATAGTTTTAAATAGTAGTTTGGGATCATTTTACTTACTCTATTTAATGCCTGTTTATTATCTTCATTTTTTTTCCCCTCTAGAAAGAAAATGACAATTTGAATATTTCTAAGACTGAGGTAGAGGTTTATCTGTCATATATGAATGGTGCGCAGACCAAAAAGATATGGTTCAGTGTCCAAAATATTACCAAAAAACCAGACCGTAGCACCATACTGTGCAAATTCAAAAGGGAAGGAACAGACAAGATTGACTTTTCCACAGTGAAAGTTTTTGTAAGTAGAATTCCCTTTTGTTGCAGTTCAAGAGTGTTTGGATGTTTATACAAATGTAGTAAAATGTAGCAAAATGTAGCATTAATGCTCTCATCATGAATGTTCTTTATAGAGGGAGGAACTGGATGCGTTTTCTGCTCTCCTGGTACTTGGTAGCACAGTATCTTCCTCATGTCTAAGCATGCCTGCCTAGCTTAGGTGCCGCTAGAGCTCATTTTCTGTCTGGTTACTGCTGTGGTGTCAGAGGTAAGCTGTGCCACCCAAACTGAACTCACTGCTGCTGAGCTCTAGGAGGGCAGTAGATTGTCACACCTCTAGCTACAGCACAGACATCAGTGATGCAGCATGACTGGCTTCAGGAGAGCTCCTCATCTTAGTTTTGTAAGCAATCTCATGCTGCAGTGTGGCCATGAGGAGGATAGTGCCCTCCCATTCACTTTTTGTACTGAAGTAGATGAGGATCTTGAACAGTGCATAGGGATCACCATTAAGACAGAAGAGAAGGCATTTCTGGATGAACAAGAGGGTGAAATTCAATGTGCAGTGGGAAGGACAAAATGCTTTGAATGTACGGCACAAAGCCAGGCCCAAATATAAGAACATTAGCATGGATGTCAGAGCTAAATGGGAGCTTAAGATATTTGCTCCATGAATAAGACGAAGATAGGAATTTTTAAAAATGCAATCATCACCACTTATGAGGGAGAAAAATTATGCCAGACTTATTGCAGTGTATGGTGGCATAAAACTGAAATAACTCTATTGACTTCAAGGCATATGTCTCATAGTAAAGATTAACGAAGCTATTCTCAATTTCATATCACTGCTGACTGATCCCCCATCTGTGGATCCCGCCATCTGAGCCAGTTATGGCATGGAAAAGCCTTTCTGAGAGTGGTGTTGCATTTAAATATTAACATTGCATTGCTCATCCTGCAAGCTTCATAGGAGTGACTGTCATAGAAAGGTCACCACTTCGCTAAGGCAAATCAAAGGCAATAGTTATAATGTAACATTTCACTTCTGGTACCTTAAAAATGGTTCTTTCCAACATCAAGAAAAATGTAAAAGCAATAAATCATCACATGTTTTTTCAATCTTATAAATAAATCATCATGGAAGAAGTAGGGCCAGTCTGTAGAAAGGATAAGCTGAGTATAAAAGGTAGGTATTGCCTGAGAATAAATGTATCTCTTGCCATAGTTTTGAGGAAGAGAGAAGATATTGAGTGTGGTGTCAAAGACAGGATGATCAGTCTGAATGGCGGTATCAAAGAAGAAAATACCATTCTTGTGACAGAAGAAAGATTCATACAGATCAAGGGGCTCAAGACAGCAGTAACAGAATCATTCCCATCACAGGACTGAGAAAAAACTGGCACATTATATTGTAGGCTTGGTAGAAAAGCTCTTAAATAAAACTGCAGTCAAGAGACACAGTGTATGACTGGGAAGCAGCAAATATAAACCCAGTATTTAAAAGAAAAAAAAAAAACCAACAAACTAGGCAAATAAAGACTTGCTAATTTAATCCTGTTTCTGAGTAAAGTTTTTTAATGTCTTTTGAATGAGGGACTCATGAAAGACCTGGAGGTAAATGGAAAATGGGATAATTGTCAATTTCTTTTTAATGAAAACAGATTATTCCAGATAGCTTTATTTCGTAAGATGAGTGATTTCCTCAACAGCAAAAAAGCAGTAGATCACGTGTACCTGGAAGTCATTCAGTAAACTACTTAACTTGGTGATTATGAAGATGCAGGGATTAGAAAATGTGGATGCTGTGTGTGGGGAGCTGACTCTGGTCAAAGTTGATTTTCATACAGATACTATGCAATATCACTAGTGACTTGAGTGCAAAAATAAGGCATGTGCTAATAACATTTGCTGATGACAAGGCTCAGAGGTATTACCAGTCCAGAGAAGGTTTCATAATGTCATGCAGGAAGAATGAAATGAATTTGGGAATCAAAACTTGATGAATTCAGGTGTACCTGATTTAGTCCATCATTTGTAAGCAAAATAAATAAAAGAAATGGGACCAGAATAGGAAGGTTATGGTAAAGATTAAAGATATATGAGCAGAAAATGATGCATTGTCTCAGTGTGCAGTAAGCAGGGATGAGTAACAGAAATTTCTGCTTTAGGAATGCTTTGGTTGGACATGACAAGTGGAGAAAGGCAGGTGTATCAGCCACAGGATGATGCTACCAATGCATTTCAGCCTTAGAAAAGGCAAATGGGATCCTAGGAAGAATCAGACCAAAAGTACTTTGTATATAGAAACTATGAAAAAATATAAACTGAGGAAAAAAAAACCCCAAACAACATTTGATGGAGGAAATAGGTCTGCTTTGTTTGATGTTCTTTGTAGGCCCAGAAGTATAAAGGCTGTGCCCTACCGGCCCTGTGGGGTTTCTTTGCTTTGCTCATGTCTGTGTAGCTGCAATGTGACTATCCAGCTGGCAGTTTCTAGCTGCCCTGGCTGCTCACCTCCTGTGACAAACCAGTGATTGAAATCACCAGATCTGTGCCTGCCCTGCTGTAACTCAAAATAATTTCAATCCAACTCTCCTTTTCAATTATCTCAAGCTCATTTCTATCCCTGGCACTTGGTGGTATTCTTTCTCCATGTCAAAGTGTATTTTTACCTCTAGTCTGTTTATAGTCTTAGCTACCCTTTTATTTATGTGCTTTCATGGTCCTCTTTGAGATCCTTCTTTGTGAAATTTCTTCTGCCATAATTATCAGTGGTGAATGACTCAGTTTGGCATCTGGCAGACTTCAGCCCTTTTGTATATTTGTAAGAACTAATGCCTGTCCTGCCTTTGACAAGCCCAGTGGCTGTTGGGGAATGTTGTACATATGTTGTTCGTTGTATTTGTTCTTAAGTGGACCTTCAGAAATGCCCTACATCCTACATAAGGAGGTTGAAACTTCTGCAAAGAAATAGAGAAGAGGGCTGTGGGACAGGCATCTGTCAAAAATTGTCTTCCCTCTGTCAAAAATGGCATCTGTCAAAAATGACTTCCCTCATTATTAGCATGAGTCTTACCTTGCTTTTCTGCTCAGCAGAGTAGCACTGTGAGTGCAAACGGATGTTTTTACTATCAACATGTGCCTTTCTTGCTTCAAAACACCAGAACATTTAGCAGCAGTTCTGGAGTGCATGAGCTGCTGGGCCAGCTGGAGATCAAATCTTGCCATTCATTTGAGGGTGCTAGTTTGCAGTGAAGCAATGGCAAAATTTGGTGCTGCATGAGGACCTCCAGATTTTTCTCTTGTCACTGATCTGTTATCCTGTTTAAACATCCAATACAGTAAAAGTTAAATTTGCGTTGGTTCACGTGTACTTTTTCCAAATTACTGCTGTTTTCTCAAAAATCTGCATTCCCATGGTCCTTCATGTGCCTCAAATACATTTCATTTTTTTTTATACATTAAGTATTATTTTAAGCACTGATATAGTACCTGTCCTCTATTAATACAGCCATTATTTTTCTTCAGGTCAAATTAGGAAATTTTGAGCATGAAGTCAAACCAACATCATCACACATATATTTGTATGTTCTGATTTTGCTGCCGATTGTAGTGGGTGTCATTATAGGTAAGTACAGTAATGTGTTTTCAGGTTTTTATTTGCTGAAGGTTATAATCATGACACATAAAGACATATACATACATGCACATGTTTATGACTGTCACAAACAGTCTGGTGGTTTTCCCTTGTTCCAAATAAGAGTGGACAAAGTTAACTCTGGTCTGGTGAAGTCCATCTTGTCAGAATACAGCATGTTACAAGACAGTAGTTTTGGCTGTTCTGCTGGGATTAGTCGCCATTGTTCAGTGAGGCAAGCCCTAGGTCTGACATCCTTGTGTCCCAACTTGAGCTGTTCCAGCTGTCAGAGCTGGGCACTCCTCCTGTCCCCAAGGCAGATGTTCCCTAACAAATGGCTTATCCTCGAGCAGTGTTTGTGCTGTTTCTGCTCAGTCTTATTTGGATCATTCATGAATTTGTAGGTCATTACTGAATTGATGGAGGTAAATAGTTATCCCCTCCTCTTTCTGTCAGTCCTTATATCTGAATGTTTTGACCTGGCTATATATTTGATAAATTTCCACTTCCGTAGTAAGCTTAGGGGGTTGTTCTTTTTTTGTTTAGTTTTGGTTTTTTGGTTGTGTTTCTTTTTAAAAAATGCATTACCTTTACAGGAACTATATCTCACACATTTACTCTCTTGAAATAAGCTTTAGAGAAGTTAACAGAACAACCATTTCTGCTTTAGGTTGCTAGCAGTAGAAGTGGTTTGTTAGAGTCTTTGTCTCACTGTGCATGTTGTATACATAGCAGGGTGTGCTGTACTTTCAAATAAAGATGGATTGACAATTCTAAGATGTTAAAAGAAATGTTTTTTATTAAACATTGTGGTTTACATCCAGATAACCAGGACTCATGGGTACTAGCACACAGGCAACAGCAGAAACAGTAATCGTCCTGGAGAATGCAAGTGTATGTTAATGTTTCTGTTTCTTAAAATAACATTGAAACTCATCTTGTATAGGGCTTGTCTGTTCTGCAATTTCTGTACTCAGAATCTTTTCTTGATTCCTTTTTAGCGGCATTCATAGTTACTAGATACAAATCCAAAGAGTTAACACGTAAACAGAGTCAGCAACTGGAACTGCTGGAATATGAGATTCGGAAGGAAATACGCGAGGGTAGGTCTAAAGGGCTTTATAGAGCTTAAGTACAGCATAATTTCTCAACTGAAACTGTCAAGAAGCTCACATTATACAAACATTTTAATATTATAGCTGTTAGATTTGTGTTATGTTGTATCAGAGTTCCTCTGAAATGTTGGTGTGCACTGCAGTAGCAGTTAGCACTGAGCTAATAGGATTGCCTGTCATATTTCCTTCAACAAAAGCAGGGAAAAAAATTGATCGGTACTTTCCCACTCATAAGAGCTCCAGCTAGGAAAGCAACCCTTCTTCCCTGAAATCTGTTTTTTAAGGAATATCTACTGCGATCAAGTTATAACTGTGAAGATGATTTTGTGTCGACTAAACTAACTGTCAGTGGTGGGGGGTGCTTTTTCAGGATTTGCTGAACTGCAGATGGATGAATTAGATGTGGTGGATAGCTTTGGAACTGTTCCCTTCCTTGACTACAAACACTTTGCTCTTAGAACTTTCTTTCCAGAGGTAAATATTTACAAGTGTTTCAGTTGTCAGCCCTGCCTAATAATGAAAAAGCTAGGAAGGTCAGGATCAAATAATTGAAGTAAATACTACACAGTAATCATACATTGTTTTCACAAGAAACTTTTCTTAAATCAAGAATTGCCAAAGAACACTTTAAGACTGTACATCTCTATATTTAACCAAACCTAAATGCTCTAGATAAAGCACTGTTGTTGAATTTTCAAGGGTTGTGTGTGCATCCATCTCTTTTTTCCCCAGCCTCACCAAGCTGCTTGCCTTTCAGGACACCCTAACTAAGCTATAATTTATCCATTGCTTTTTCTGTTCTCATGCTTTCACTTTCCATGCTATAGCTAATTAAAGTAACAGTCAGGCTAGCTAACATGCTAGCGAACATCATGACACTTCCTAATTAGACTTGTGGGATGAAGAAGTGGCTCTAAGGTTGTGCTGACTTTCTACTCCAAGCTGCTGACAGCAATGGTAAGACCTTGATTCAAAGGAGTGCAGGTCAAATGCTTAAAAATTACATAAGTACTTAAGTGCTGCCCAGTTTAGAGGTGAATATTTTCGCTGTTCATCAGCAGTTTGTGCTGCTGTGTCAGAGGGTTGGAGACACAATTCTCTCAAATGTTTTAGTTTTCTTGCTTTTTTTTTTTTTGCATATGTGACACATTACAGTGCTAATAAGTGTGTTTCCACAGCTTTCAAAATTACTTCATGATGTTAACCTGTGCTTACTGGCATTTACTAATTGGCAGAAGCTGTGATCTCAACTGGTGATACTGTGCTGTTTAACTGACACCAGTGAATAGAAACCCGTGGTTAGTGCTGTGGTGTTGTAGGGTATAGGTGGTATCTGTGTGAATTATCTACTAGTCTTCATGTGTTACTCGTCACTGCTGCAACCCAGTCCTACAGTCTTATCTGTACACTGCTTCCCTTTATCACCAAGCGTGATCCCACTAAAAGCTCGTTGGGATAAAGTTAAACACGTGTTAGTGCAGAATCAGGGCCGTTTTTTTTGTACAACACCAAGTACCCAACACAAAGGCAGAATAATATTTAACAATTAATATATGCGTGATCTTTGTACACTTTGAGTCCAGTTCTCGCACCAAAGGAAACTGGGAATATATCTTCTGGTACTGCTGTGATGCCCCCAGTTTAATTTGTATGGGGTCAGTAGGAGATCTGAAGAAAGTGGACTAAGGAAACCTTATTTTCTGCATCTCTTTCCTTTCTGTTTGTTTTGTTGCCAGGCATATTTGCATTTAAATTGTGGGTTTACTTTTAAGAATATGTCTTTTCATAGTGATAGTCCCCTGTCAAAACACAATCAATTTGTAGAAGTTGTCTGGGTGGAAATGCTTTGCTTTATGCAAAGAAAAAAGGCACAAAGTCTGCCACCATGTTGCATTGTGTGAGGTCAGAAGGGGAAGGGCTCCTGTTTTGCCTTGGCAAGTGTCATGCCACTGTGCATCTTGGAAATGATTCCACTTACATTTTTGTCTCAGATTGAAATACTGATACCGCGAGGGTAAACTTACCACTGTTAGCTCTCTGCAGACATGCAGTGTCAGGCAAGTTTTTAAAGTATTGTGTACCAATTTTTCCTAAGTACTTACCATTTACATTGCAGGAGTGTCCAAACATGCCTTGTGCTGCATGAATGTGGTAGGAGAGCAGTGCCCTACTAAACAAATATTACAGATGAACAGAAAAGGTGATGGGCTGATAGATTGCCACCAAGTGTGACAGTTTTGACAAGTTGACAGAAGGGTCGAAGTGACAAACCACCTGTTTGCTCACTAACCCCATGTGTTTGTATGATGTCCATATTGTACTCTTTCTGCCTTCCAGTGTGTTTGATGGCTTTGTCTCATCTAATCCAAGCTGTTTAAACACAGGCGTTAAAGGTGTTCACTGAGCATCTTCAAGAAAGTGATTCAACCCACTTGCCTGAGACATCTGTCTCAGGATGGGATGAGTTGCTTAAAGAGAGAGTCAGATCCTTAAAATTAAGGAGTGATGGACCCCATCTTTATTTTTTTATTTCTTGCTTCCTGATGCTTTCATTTTCTATATTTAATCTGATTTGATAGCTTTTGTTTTGTGCTTAATGCTTGTAGGTATTAAATGGATATTACAGCTATTGTTAAAACATTCCTTATGTTTGGCCCAATAGTTGCTTACTTGTTAGGTTTTTATTATTATTTCTGTTTTCTCTCAATTTCCTACATTGCTTGCTTTAGTGCTGACATGCTTGTTCCCTGTTCACAAGCATTTTTAACCTTAAATGTGGTTCTGGTTGTTTCAGACTGTGTGTGTGTGTTTTATTGGTAGGTTGTTCAGGGGTGGTGAAGAAGTTCTGGAAAAATGGGAATAGCCAGTGGAGGAAGAGGAGTAGGGGAGAAGAGAACAGGAGGCATGAGGAAAGGGAGGGATGAAAAATCAGATCTGTAGATGAAAAATTAGATGTGAGCCAGGACTGTGCACTTGCAGCCCAGAAGGCCAATCGTTCCCTGGACTGCATAAAAAGAAGCCTGGCCAGCAGGTTGAGGGAGGTGATTCTCCCCTTCTGCTCCTGTTAGACCCCACCTGGAGTACTGTGTTCAGCCCTGGGGTCCCCAGCACAAGGAAGATATGGATGTGTTGGAGCAGGTGCAGAGGATGGTCAGAGAGCTGGGTCACCTCTCCTGTGAAGACAGGCTGAGTGAGTTGGGGTTGTTCAGCCTGGAGAAGAGAAGGCTCCAGGGAGACCTATTGCAGCCTTTCAGTATAAAGAAGGCCTATAATAAAGACAGAGACAGACTTTTTACCAGGGCCCGTAGTGACAGGATGAGGGGCAATGTATTTAAACTGAAAGAAGATAGATTCAGATTGGTCAGAAGGAAGAAATTATTTACACTGAGGATGGTTGCAGGTGCACTGAAACAGGTTGCCCAGAGAAGCTGTGGCTGCCTCATCTGCAGAAGTGTTCAGGGCCAGGCTGGACGGGGCTTGGAGCAACCTGGTCTAGTGGAAGGTGTCCCTGCCTGTGGCAAGGAGTTGAACTAGATCATCTTTGAATGTCTTCCAGCCCAAACCATTCTGTAATTCTATGATCCTGTAAGGAAACTAGGGGCTCCCAGCGTCACAGATGAAGCAGATGACAGTAAATGTTACTAGTGTGGATTTGTTCCTTAAGGATGCTGCTTTGGGAACATACAGCTGTGTTGGGACCTTACAGGCTGTAAGAGTCAGACAAGAGGCATTGACAAGGCATTTGGGAACTGGACACTTCCTGTTTTGTGACAGCTCTCTCTAGGACTGGATGTGTTGTGGCACCTGTGCCTCTCCAGAGACTGGCAGCGTGGACCTCCTGGGGAGTTCATTAGTGAACATTCATGAAGTGGCTTAAAATGAATGGAGGCAGATGAACTCAAGTGTCACTCTGTTGCAGAAACCCCATATTCCAAAGGCTATCACTGCCATCCAAGAAGGAAGCAGCCTGCAGCACCCCTTGCACACCAGCATGTTTGTAGAAGAGGGTAATAAACAGCTTTTCCTGCAGAGCGTTAGTTGGCTGCTCTGCTAGTGCAACTCAGCAGCATGGAGTAACCCACAGAGTAACACTGAAGGTTATCTTTGAGAGTTCACTTTTCAGTGAACCTTGGCAGCACCTTTGCAGAAGTTATTGTGTAGAGCTGTTGCACTGAAGCCACGTTAGAAGCCAGCATTTCCATTGTTCTGTTTCAAGTTGTATGCTATCAGGAACGTGCTCAGCGTGTTTAACGTGTACGTGTGTTAGAAACTTCTCGTATACGTAAGAATGATAAATATCACCTGTCTTATATTTTAGTCAGGAGGCTTTGCATCCATCTTCAGTGAAGACATGCCACAGGTAAGTTGATGTGGTGTGATATGCCTTAATAAATATTTTTTCAAGAGTGATTGTACCCCTTATCTCAGTTTTGTCCGAGAACACATCAGATGATTGCATCTTCAGTATGTTCCCTTTCCCCCATGAGGAGGGTTACATGGATTTATATGTAAAAAGAAATTAATACCTAAGTTGCTGTTACCCAATGTCTACTATGACTTATTTAAATAAAATAAACATAATTTAGTCATGCGAAATGACAGGCAAACTTAACTTTAATAAACTTAGCTTGACTTAAAACTGCCATTACTTTGTGTGTATGACAGAAGCTGTATGCTCTGCATGTGTGTACTGTGTGGTACACAAACCCAAATGCATCTTCCGTAAAATCCTGAGACCTATGAAATAAATGCAAAATTCCCACTGATTTGAATGAGGCCAGGATCTTATCTCATATGTTGCTTACCATTTTTCTGAGCATGAAGAATCCATCATAGCCAAACTACAGTTTGCTTATTTTTGTTTAACTATTCCAGAGCAGAGACCAAACGAGCAAGGATGAAAGCTTCAACATGTTGCATGCTTTAATTTGTAACAAGAACTTTCTTGTTACTCTCATTCACACCCTTGAAAAGCAGAAAAATTTCTCTGTGAAAGACAGGTATAGTATGATTATGCTTATCATCTTCAAGACAAAGAATTAGCAGAAAAAAACCAACATGAATTGTAGGTCACAAATGTAATTTCTACTTCTTGCAAAGCAAGCTTGCATTTCTCCAGAGCATTTTTCCATCTTTTCCATCTGCACACACTGAGGACAAAAAAACATTGCCATTAAAACAAGCTATTAAAGAGAAATCAGAATGTTTGTACATGTAAACAAAATGGCAAAAGAGCAGGAAAACTCATTTCCAAACTGTAAACACTTCCTGCAGTTAGATCAACAGTTGTACAGTTTAGAAATGTTCTGTCACTGAAGCAGGTGTTGTTCTGCAGAATTACATTTAGAGACACAAATTGTGTTTAAAAAACAATCACAAGAGCAGATGGACTTGCATTTTTTATTTTTCATAGAGATCAGTGGACAGTTTCTGTGCCTGAGAAAGAAACTTAAGATATGAACTGTACTAAAGTGTTTTGTTTATTAAAGATGACTGGGAAGAGAAATGCTGATATTACAGCATTCTCTTTTGTTTTTTCTTTTTCAGGTGCTTGTTTGCATCCTTCTTGACCATTGCACTACAAACTAAGCTGGTTTATCTAACCCATATTTTGGAAGTGTTGACAAAGGACTTGATGGAGCAATCAAGCAATGTGCAGCCTAAGCTCCTGCTCAGACGAACGGAATCTGTGGTAGAAAAACTGCTGACAAACTGGATGTCTGTCTGCCTGTCGGGATTTCTCCGGGTATGTACATCTTTTCACCGTGCAAGATACACAAAGAATATTAACTGATTTCTTCCATAGGAGTTGGTGGTGGGAATGGTTTAAAGCATTCGATCTAACATTTAACATTACTAATATGTGCTTTTCTAGTTCAGGTGACTTAGCTGTCATCAATGGGGTGTAGGAAAAGAGTGCGTATGTAAGCGATGATCATCTCTTTTCTTTGGCTGAGATCTGGGTAATTTTGCAATTCTAGTTTATCCTTTTCTTGTGTCAGGCATTATTTCAACTCCATGAGATGTACTGTAATCATACTAAAAGACTGACACGCTTGTGAAAATGCTGCTGTACCTTTCTATGCAAGCTGATGGAAAGCTACCACATAATGGACATATTGAGAATACCATCTTTTGGAAAACTAAACTTCTTTCCAGACTTTTTAACCTCCAAACAGCATTGCAGATTTCAAAAACTAAGTGACTTCAACTGGAAGCAAAAGAAGCTTCTATTTTTTTTTATTTTGCTGTTTGTTAATTTTTGTCCACTTGGTAGCACTTCGTTCTTGGTTTCAGTGCTTGGTTATGCTTCCTGTCTCTCTTGCCAGTGTGATGGTGTTGCACTGTTGGTATCACTCAGATCAGTCCTTGCATTAATACAGCAGCAGAATTGTTGAGGCTCAGCAGCTTTGCACCAGTTTTCTGTAACCCCAGAAGAGAGCCAAGGAACTGTCAGAGATGTGTTCTCAGTACACCAGTCATCTTTACAAAACTGTGCTAGTGAGAGGCTGTAGCCAGACTGTGGGAATGGTGTCACACGGAAACAAAGATTCATCCTTTCTCAGGTGCTTTCCTGAAGCCTGGGGTTGAGGCTGGAGAGGGAAGCCCTAGTTTCATTCCCTCTTTCATTGACAGACCAGTGTATGTCCCACCACCTTGTTCCCAAGGCTTTTTTTCTGGGGACAACAAGAGGAGACACCAATTCAAAAAGAAACTAGTTGTTAGCTTGTTTTCTCACCAGCCTGAAAAAGGAAGAAACAGCTGAAGTATGCATGTGAACACATGCACATCTCACCCCCCACCCACTCTTTGGTGGAACTGGGAAGCGTCTGCCAGGTGGAATAGGAGCAGCTTGTCTGTAGTGCTTGTGCTTGTGCACAGCAAGGGGCTGTGAGCTTATCTTGTCACACACTCCAGCTGTCCCTTGCTATTTGCATGAGACTTTCACACTGAAAAGCAAAGGATGGAGGTTAAACAAATAACTAGATAAATCTGCTCAGCGGGATTTGCTTTTCTAATTGCAAGATAACAAGTTAGTTAAAAGGAAATAATTTGTTACACTTGAGTTTTTTCTAGCTATTCGTGCCCATTTAATGATTACAAAAACAAACATGTTCCTTGCTTTTTCTTGATGCCCTAGGAGACAATTGGTGAACCTTTCTATTTGCTAGTGACAACCCTCAATCAGAGGATAAACAAAGGACCTGTTGACGCAATAACTTGCAAAGCCCTGTACACACTGAATGAAGACTGGCTGCTGTGGCAAGTGTCTGAATTCAAAACAGTGGTATGTTTTCCAGTTTGTGTTCCCTCCAAAACGAGACAACTACAATGTTTTCTGTTTTTCTAGGAAGCTAAATTAAGGCTCTTGATCACTAAGGTGATGGTTAAGTACCCAGATAATGAAATTGTTATTGCTGACAAAGTTTCAAAATGCAATAGTATTTAACTAGCTGGTAGTATTTCACCAATATACATTTCACAAATAGCACTCTCTCCTCATTTCACAGCATGCCTTAGTTGCCAAAGGTCTGGCTTAATGAAGTCTCAGGGTATTAAAATTCCTTCCTATTTTAAAGTGTACTGCAAAAATATAAATGTATGCTTAGAATTTAAACTAAATTACAGCTTTCCAATGAACGAAAGAATGGAATGCAGAGGTTTTATTTTTCTATTGTATCTACTTGTGGCTAATCTTCAGGCAGCAATAATTTGCTGTGGGTTTCCATGTTATTAGCTCCAATTAGCAAAGTTACACTGTGGTGGATTTTACTGAGTTGCTTGGTTAAAAACAAGGGATCTGGGACGTCTGGCTAAGTTTCTGAACTTTACCGTAGATTCCTCGCCTTTCTCAAAGCAACTACAAAGTGCTTCCTATTTTGCAATTATACCCAGAATTCTTTGAAAGCTGGAATTCCCTTACTGATTGTTGTTGTGACTCTGAGGAGAGAAGGGACAGCAACAATTATTGCTCTTGCTGAACCTAGGACAGGAGCATGTAAAAATTGTGACTTTTTGAGTAGGAGGTCTGAGAAAGATTTTCAGAATAGCCAGAGTACTTTTTCCCCAGAATTTCCAAGTGATTTTGAGTCTGAGAACTTAAAAATCTGCATCTACAGTCATTTCCATGGCTTCCTTGCTTCTGTACTCCTGGCTTCCTGTTGGGGTTACCAGATATACTTAGGAGTATAAAAACTGCGACTGAAGAGTGGGCTTCAGAGCTTGGGAGCAGCAGCTGCGATGGTAGGGACACTGCAAGTGCTGGTGGCCTTGGAGGAGAATTCAATCCTTTTCAGAGCCCGTATCCTGAGCTGCAGGTAGTGCTGGACCTTCCAGGTCTGCCCATCATCCTGTTTTGCAGGACGAACCCAGAGATCCTAAGATACCACATACGTCAGTAGGCTACATGACCTTGGAAATTTTGGCTGGTCAGCAATCTATTGGGACTTGGCTCACTGGGTCATGTAGGAAGCTCACTGAAATCACAACCTTTCTGTGAAACGTTTTCTGCTGAAAGCTCTTGGACTGACAGATTTACGGTCAAATCTTATAGTAATTTACAAAGCTGTTGTTGGAAGCTTCATTTGAAGGTGCTTCAAGCTAAGTTACTACAGTGTGCATTTGGAAAAGAAGCTTGTGACTAAAAATTAAATGAGTAATACTGTATTTTTGATTTCCTTGCTTGTGCACTGCCTTCTGGCATGAATTTGGGATCCAGGGTAAGCTTAAGTGTGCACTATATATATCCATAGGATACAAAACCAGTAGTAATGCAAAGCAACAATTTGCAAGTAAGCTCAATATGCCTGTTACTAGTAGATTGTGCAGGAACATCTGGTCATGTGGAATTGATTGACTTTTTCTTATTTATAGCATGAAATTCAAGTTGAGAGAATCTGGGGGGGGGGGGGGGATATCTCACTCTGAAACTGCTGAATGCTGCCTTAAATACTTTTTTCTTGTGTTATTCCTGTGCATGCAGTCACTGATAGGGTTTTGTGGGCAGCCTGCAGTGAAGAGGAGAGAGGGGAAGTGGTCTGAAGGACTCTGTAAGTGGGGAAGGCTGTTTGCAGATGGATGAGGAAGTGAGAGATCAGATAGCCTTTCTCAAACATTGTTTGCTGCCTTTGTATCCCACCTTTTTAAATAGGAGATTATGATACTGTTACAGGGTTACTAAGTCAGCTTTCCCCATTAAGGTCCAGCAGTTTGACTTAGTTGAGAAGTGGCTGAATGTTCCCTTTAAAACCATCAGAAAAGGAGGGAGGATCCTGCAGCAAAATTACGGAGATGGAGCCCAAGGACTAGTTCTGGCTGGACAGAGAAACTGCTTTGTTTGGTGTTTTGTCTAAGATTTATGCTGGAAACTAAAACTGTACTCTGAAAGAAATCTAAGTGGAATAGCAAGGCTTTCTGGGCTGGGGAGGCAGGCCAGCTATGCACATTTTCTCTTCAAAGTGGCTTTTAACAGGATGCTAAAGTGGAAGGAGTCAGCTTTTCTTCTGTCACTAACACCACTTCACATGCACTGCAATGACATGAAGGACCCGTGAGTATACAGACAGGGAACCAAGTATTTCCTCCTTTCTTTGGAAGAAAATTTCCACCGAAAGGATTTTCTAAATGGAATAAATCCTGAGTAGAGTTTTAAAATGCATTTGCACATATTCTCACTGCAGTTACATTCTCAGTCTTGCAATATTTTGCTGGTATTTTATTTTGCCCCTTTCCACAGACCCACAAAGCAGTACATTAAAACCTACTTGTCCAGAGCAAAGTATAAAAACAGCCAAACAGCCAAAATGAGGGGGATAAAAAGATACTGAAGCACATCTGCAGACACTCAGTGTCCAGATTTTTAAGCTATGTTGGCACTTGAAGACAGAGGGGGGCATTTGGTAGGGAGTTCAATGCTCAAATCAGTGGCAGGGCACAAGCAAGGGTGTATGCACTCCACATGCAAATTCTCCTTTCAGGATTTGGACTTCAGTTCCAAACCAGGACAAGCAAGGTACAGACAGGCTCCTAAAAATTAGGGGGAGGTTCACAGGTCTTCTCCTAAACACACCACTATGCAGATAAAATCTTGGGGCAGGAGAAGGAAGAAGCACTGGGCATAGCGAAAGTAGGAAGGACAGGAGATATTTTCTAAATTTCAGGCCATTTGTAGGAAATAAAAAAGAAAACAAAGAAACATGTTGGTTTTGAATTGTATCAGAGCTGTCCCTTGGCTGGGCCCCATGCCTTTTTATAAGGGCCACAGACCTCAGAACCCTGCTACTGTTATCCCTCTCTGCTGGAAAGGGTCAGATATTGAAGAGAGATGGGCTGCTGAAGTAAATACTCAGGCAGAGGAATTGAAGGAAAGATGCTTCTAAAAGCACTGGTCCAGTATGAGCTGAGGAGCTGTGTGTTTTCATGCTGTGCTTATGTTTGAGTATTGAGAAATAAAACTGCCTTGAAAGAGACTTGGATGTCTCAGGGAGCCTTTTCACAGGCTGAGGAAGCAAGCCTGCTTTCTCACAGGCAGACAAGCAGCTGCACCCCTTGGTGGATAATTCACTCAATGGCTGATGAAGAAGCACAGTGCACAGCTGAGTGTTAGTCTTTCACTGAAGTGTTTCATTTTAAATAGAAAAGCTGTACAATGCCAGCCAGGCATGGGAGAAGTTCTCAGTGGCATCTCTCCTGTGGAAAACCAGGGGAGACTTCATTTGGTAGACTTGGAGCTTTGGCATTCATTTGAATAGTCACTGCTTATTTTAAAAAAGGGATTGGGGCTCTTGAATTCTTTGCTGAAATGAGTTTGCATTTTTAGATGGGAAGAAATGATCTAATTCACCTGTTCACCAACAGCCTTTTATTGAAAGTGAAGCAAAGCCACGTGGTGGAAGGTTGTTTAAAACGTTCAGCTGCTTTACGAGTTAAAAGGATGTTAAAAGAAGTGGGAGGGCTGTAAGGGAGTAAAGCAGAGACAGGGAACCCAATTTAAGATGCCATGGTTGTGGTGTATTATTAGGCACGCTTTGTGAGAGATACAGAAGCTATTAGAAGCATGTGACATATGGGGATTTTCGTCAGCACAAAATGAGACAACAGCCCTTGCTAGGAAGCCAGCAGTGCAGATGTTGGCTCCAGGAGTCTTCTGAATTAGATACAGATCGAGTATCGCACTGTAGCATCGAGAGTACAACCCCTGCTTTGCGTAGTGCTCATCTCGCCTACGCTTAACTCCTGTAACATTTTTCTTATGCCAGTTTGTTAGTTGTTCTATAACCTCTTCATGGGTAACTGTTCTGGCTGCTACAGAAGGATCATAAAATCAATCTGATTTTTCCTGTTTATTGTATTTCATAGTCTGGGAGACAGGGGAGTAGGTTTAAGGCAGTTTCATTGTGCTGTACGTCATAGTGCTGTCTCCTTCACATAGAATTCTCTAACTTTTACCAGTCAAAAGTTTTTCTTGTTTTTCAGTCTGTCTGATACATGGAAATCTGCTTTGTTCAGATGCGCAGCTAAGTAGAGAACAGGGTGGTGAATAAGAGCCCTTGAATATCACAGATGATTTTTCTTTACTTGTAAAAAACCATGGCATTATCACATTCCTTTATTAAACTACATCTCATTATCTGCTATGGTTATTAATAGCTTTACTAAATAATTCATTATTTGAAATTAATTTTCAAGAAAACTACAAATCTGAAAAACCATCTGTAAACATTGGCTTCAAATGTCATTATTTCTGTCACTGCATGAGTGAAAAAAAATGCTTTTTAAAATTTGTTCCTGTCTTTTAGCTAGATTCCAAGCTGGTTTCTATACAAGTAGTTGCAGATGCCTGCCTGGTGCTCCTTAAGTAGCCTTTAACAATTCTTGCAACCTCTGTTAAACCTTTGCTGAAGAGCACTGTGACCTTGTGTTGCTAATCACTAATTCTAGCGCATAGTCTCATCTTGAGGTATTACTGGGTTAACCACGTCCTGTAATTTTCTCCTGAATCTTTCCCTAAGTTGACTCGTATTTTCTTTTCCTTTGCAAAGTGAGAGAGCTCAGAAAAGGACCTGATGGTGTTTCCTTGTGAGATCCGTGTGTCCTCCCATCATTCCTCTTAAATGTTTTCTGACCTTCAGAGCTGATCATAAAAGGGCTTTCATAATTCTACAGTAATTTCTGATTCTTTTTTCAGTGCCACACTTTATGTTTAAATGCAGTGATTGTGACTGTCAGGTTCTGATTAACGGTTTCCAAAGCCAGGGATTGTGCAGTCAGACAGCTTGAATCTGATTTATGAAAACTTCAGCTACAGAGGGAAGACTTAATAATAGTTGGCTCTCCTAGCTTCTGTTCAATTGCTGCACCACTTAAGATTAATTTCTGTAGGAAATCATATCAGCAAAACTGTCTGTCTCTCTTGGGTTAGAGACTTTTATGTATTTAAATATTTGTTCCCGTCTGACCACCTCTTTGAGTGATAAAGTGTTGTTATTATCCTCACATTGTGGATATTTTTGATTAAGGAGTTCATAAATGACTAGTATTCCACCTACATGAAGGACTGCTGCTCTCTTTTTACAGTCCTGTCACCCTATAGTGAGTTGAGTGAGGATGGGAGGACTGTCACATGCTAATAACTGAAGAGGCTGCACATTTATGTGTGATCTGTGTGAGAGCATGTGCTGAGAAGGAGATGCAGCAGAGAAAAAAGTCAGTTTTTCTTGACAGTCTGAAAGGAAGAGGAAATTAAGCAGTTGCATGAATATTGCAGTGTAGGAATAATGTTAGGAGGAAAGGATCAGCTAAAGGAAGGAGTGCTTCCAAGGATGTAAAGACAGTTCAACGTCAGTTAAAGTGTGAGTAGCTACTCCAGAAAGATCAGTTTGGAGACTAGAAGAGACAAGGACTTTGATTAAAATGAGTTTTTCAAAACCAAAATACAGTTGGTCCCTGCCCACATTTTTGTCCTAGAAGACCGTGACCTTAGGGCAGTCAAAGTCAAGGGCAGGACTGCTGTCTGTTCAGTTGGTCTGTGGGCCTAACCAAGCATGACTCCCTCATTCCTGTGCCAATATATATTTTACTAATTTTCTGCATGAAATCCCAACCTGAGGCATGGCATCCAGTCTGCTTCTCCTTGTGCAGGCACCATTCCCACATATCCTCTTCTTCTGTTCCATCTGTCCTTTCCATGGGCTCATTTTCTCCACAATTAAACGTCTTGGTGCCCTGATTAAGTTATTCTCTGTTACTTCAGTTACATCCTATAGTCTTTATTAAATCCCGATCTTCATTGTTTTGCAGGCCTGTTTTTAATACTCATTTTGCTTCTGTAGAAACAGTAAAGTTAATTTATGTCTCATTGGACTAGTTTTTTTTTTCATCACCGGTGTGTTGTAGTTTCCTCTCTTGCTGAGTAATAAAGCAGAAAATAGCATTCTACAACTATTAACAACTACCCATTTTTCTAAGAGAGAAAAGCTGTCCCTGCAGCAACCTGCACAGAAATTCTTTCCTTCACATGACAGCAGGGAAAAAAACATTTTTCAGTTGCTTCCTCTTTTAACAATCACTCCTTCACTGAGTCACACCTGCAGCCCTCTCATTTCACTCAAAAGATGTGGATTATACCAGAAGTGTCCAACAGCCACACTGGTTTGAGTACGTAGATTTTCCTATGCTTCTTGCAGTCCAGTGTTTTAATTCTGTCCCAAGACACCTGCAGCAGAACATCTGTATCTGTGTAGCTGAACGGTGATTTCTCTGCAAGGAGCAGGCTGTGGCACTGCGTATTATTGTTATCATTGCTCTGCAATAGCAATTCTGTGGTTTTTCCTGCCTTTTGGCAGTTTATCTGCCTGGACTGACCAGAAATATGACCTGACTGAAAACGTTCCCTGGAGATGGTCACCCAGACTCATTGGCACCTCCCTCTACCCCATACTCACCTTGTGTGCAGCCTTAAGCAGATGAATTGTGTCCCAGCTAAGAGCAGCTGTGAGCTAAAGGGTAGGGGTGTTGTAGCTGCACAGGTTGTGTGTGTGTTTGACCTGCAGTAATAACTAACAGAATAAATCACACTTTTTGATGCGGATCTGGACCACTTTGGGTTCTATCTGCTGCAACGTGCTTTCCCTTTCCTTCTGCAATAGGCCTGTCTCTGCTGCCTCTAGAGACATGGCTGTATGCAGACACTGATGTCTCCAAGGGAGGTGTATTTTTTTGTATGATACAAGGCACTTAGCATAATCTGCTGGTGTAAATATGCATTTCAGCACTGCTTCCTCTCCACTCAAAATCAATCATGCTTACCATGACAACTTACTTAGCAACCCTATCAGATCTCTGGTTGCTTAAAGTTTTGCTTTTAAGGCACTCATTTTAAATAAAAGATCGGCTTTTTTTAGAGCGTGCATTGTAGTTTTCCCTGGTCTCCTGTCTGTTTTCTTTTTTTGGTAATTCACTGAAACAGATTTGCACGAAAGCAGAACACAAAATACAGTTTTGAAAATACATGGCTGTGTATCTTTGATCCTTTGGACACGAGGAATTCTAACTGCTTCGTTCTGTAATTCCTTCAAATAATCTTCATTTGAAGTAGCTTAAATAATCGATATGCTGAAGATCCTCTCAGGTTTGCTGTCAGGAGTTTGTAGGTTTCCTGTGCCAGGTGGTCCCTGTAAGTCAAATATGTGTTTCCTTCCCCAGACAGTAAACATTATCTTTGAAAAAATCCCAGAAAATGAGAGTGGAGATGCCTGTCAGACGATCCAAGTTAATGTTCTGGACTGCGACACCATTGGCCAAGCCAAGGAAAAGAGCCTTCAGGCTTTCCTTAATAAGAATGGCTTTCTCTATGGTCTTCAGCTGGATGAAATTGGTCTAGGTAAGAGAGTGTCACTGTGTTGTGTTTTCATGGAGTTCACTGATCTGTCTGTGGAGTTTTCCTGTTAGGAATTGCTACTGTTGGCTTTGATTTCTTTTTTTAAATGTTTTAGTGTTTAGGCAGAACATAGGTTTTGTAAGGAATTTATCCGGAAACACTAGATCGTTTATACTCAGAACATTGGAACTGCATCTTCCTCACTTCCGCAAGGACTTGAGCGTGCAGCTGACAAACGTTGTTCGTTGAACACACGTAATTTATATGTTCCTTTTCTGGGTTAAGTAAGGTGGTCCATCCACCTCAGTGCAGCTGGTTGATAAATTGTCAGTGGGTAGGATGACATGTCATGATTACCAAGTACTTTAGTCCCTACCTGCTATCCCTCCTACCACCCCTTGTTCCAACAGGTCTGTGTTTCCCTCAGTCAGGAAAACCTGCAAATAAAGTTTATTTACAGCCAGATTAGGTTTATATAATAGCTCACACATGACTTGCAAAGATACATGCAGTATCTACAGAAGTAAATTAGGCCATTCCAGCAGATCAGTCAAGCCATCATTTCTTGTTGGGTTTTCAAGAGCCCAAGGTCAGGTAAAAGCCTGTAGTTGCCACCATGCCACTTCCACGTGCTCCAGCAGGAAGTCTAACAAACTCAACATTGTTGGTATTTATCACCTCCTGGACTTGCTTCCCAAGATGTTGATCTTTCCTCACCTGCTCAGATGCTATGTCAGCAAGTGATGATGATTTACTTTCATATCTGACATTTATATCCCCCACCCCTGCCTGACCACCCTTCACAGATACTGTGTCAGGTCTTGTACAGTGGCTTGTGAAACCTTTCTTCTGGTCCCAGCGTGGCCATAACACCAAGGCACACTTGTGCAACGGATTAGCTAGATCAGGTGAAAGCACCTCCGAAACCTCTGCCTTGACCACAACAAAGTGAGGCACGAGTGGCCTTGTGGAAGCCACCCAGGCTGTCACCCCGGAAAATGAATCTGTGGTGTGGGAGTGAAAAACCAATCTTGTGTGACCTAGCACAAGGACAGAGAGAAACAGCTCAGTTGGGAGCCACTGGTCCAAAAATAATTAGGTGTTGTTTTTCTTTACAAACATCTGTGCAGTGAGAATGCCATTAGAATGTAATTGTTTTTTGTTGCTGTCGTACTGCAGAACTGGTGTCTGAGGAGCAGCAAAGAGAATTGTTAGATATTGATGGTTCCTCTGAGGTGATGGAGGATGGGATAAGAAAGCTAAATACCATCGGTCATTACGAGGTAAGCACGGAAGCCATACCAATGAATCAAGAAGCAGTTTCTCTCCAGCTCCAAAATGCTTGTCTGCACGGAAGTATCTTGGTTGATCAAACTGTCAAAGAGACAGCTGAGCATCGACCACAGAAGGAAAGAGCTGTGTGACACACAACTTTCTTGACAACGAGTCATACGTTCTCTGTTACTTTTCAGAGGCTTGCTTGTTGAAGGGTTGCTTGGTTGGAGCGTACCAGGTAAACTGTTACTGCCGTTGAGCATTTCAGTTGCCCGTCTAAGGAGTTTCCACTGACACTAGTCAAAATAGAGGGTGATGGGCTGAGGTGACACGTTCAGCAGATGATTTGTCTCAAATGATATGGTAGCTCACATCTTGATGCTTACAGATAGATTTTGGAAATTAGGTTAGCATGCTGAGTGCTTTTAGTGAGCTTTCTTCATTCCTCATTGTTGAATCTGAAAGTCTAGCTCTTAGCATATAATCACTTCTTATTTATTTAGACATTTTGATGATGAGTATAGGTGTGTGCCATGCGATGCAGTATGGTGCTGAGAAACCTGAGCCAGCCTTGAACACATTGCTGTCTGTGTAAGCAAATACAGTGCCATCCACAGAGAAACAAGGGCTCCTAGCAGCATTGTCTGTAGCTGGAGCAAGCTCATTTGGAGTCACTTTACAGATTTCTGGAGTTACTTGTTGCTCTCCTTAACCTTCCAGTGAGGCAGCAGTGAACCCAGGTATCCTGAGTCACCATCCAGTGTCTTAAATACAGCTTTTCCTGTGCCTATCTTGAATCTTGTCTATAGATTAACGTGGGACTTCCTCCACTCTGTTTGTAAAGATTTTGTACAAATTAGGACATTGCAGCAAAGGTCAAAGTAGATCTGAATCTGATTAGATATTTGAACTTCTGCCTAATGTGATAGTATGCACATTCTTTACTTCAGGCAGCTGTTGCAAGTGCTTCCTGGTTTTACCAGGCAGCTTTTTGCACTTCCTGAGCTCACGGCATGCCGTGGGGAAAGGGTGCCATACCTCATGGCAAACGGGTCTGCTCCAGTTGGTCAGTGTCATCCCTGGGAATCTTTGTCCCAGCCCTTGTTTTCATCTGAGGTTTCTGCAGGCAGATGCAAGTTAGGTTGGAGGCTCAGCTGTTCTTGCAAAGCTGTAACTACACTAATCATAGCGTAGCAGCTGTCTTATGGAAATTGTGCTGGGTATCTATCTCGGTTAGATATTTTAGTTCACTTCTGACACTGACAAAATCATGTACATGTTAGGCAGAAGCTTGGTGACATTTTAGGCAGTGGCTTAGTGGCAAGTATAAGCCGTTACCATATATAGTTTATTTTCTTGTATGCATATTAATACAAAAAGGAATGTAAAGGTGTCCAGTTAGCACGAAAAATGAACATTTCATACACAGTGTGAGGGTAGTAATGTTGCCTGAGGAAATTCCAACTTACATTTCAACAGTGCTTGAGTTTTGTGCCAAGCCTGATTTTTCCTTTTGTTTGCCAGACTGAAATGCTAGAAAGGAACCAGGTTTTTGAAACAGGGAGATACCATCAAATCTTTTTAAGATACTGGAGCATGAGAGTTGTGTTGTAAAGGTCCCAGAATCACCAGGCACTCCTGAAAAAGCAGACTTAGTTTCTACACTGATTTTTTAAATCTGCAAGTAGGGGATGTTTGCATTTTTGCGTAGTGTTTCTGAGGGGAGACAAATCCCCTGTACTCTTACTTAGACTTTCATGTGTCTCTGATTTACATACTCCTGTTGCTCTAATTTTTTGCTGCTAGTAGGGTTATTGATGTGATTATTTATGAGGTCTGCACTATTTCCCTCAGAATAACCACAAGCCTTGACAAGAAAGTTGCTAATTATCACAATGTCCTATTTCCCACACAAGAAGAGAGCTAGAGAACCACTTTCAGATCTGCTCTCCAAGTCAGAGATCAATTTCTCAAGCTGCATCAGCATCACATGTTCCAGGAGCAGGCACAGCCCCAGACAGCAAATCTGAGTGATCCAGGGAGCTCGCTGTCAAGAAGTGAATTACAGGGAGGACAGCAGGCCCGGAGAAAAAGAAAGAGGGGTAGAGCCACACTACTACATCTTCTGTTCTGCAAAGTAGCAGTACTCCGTGTTGTGTGGATCTGAACAGATCTCCCCCTCCCTTTTCTTCCCCCTCCGTAACACACCTGACAAAATAAAGATGTTTTGAGGTGCCCATGGGAGCAGCCCACCATGAACATGATAAGGGCAGCAGGACATGAAAGAAGGGGTTTTTTTTATTTAATTAGATCACACTGAAAGAATCAGCAAGCATGGCTGCTGCAGTAATGGTAAAGAAGGGAAAGCATGTTCCACTCAATGCTAAAAGCATAATTTGTCCCAGAAATAAAACCTGAAGTGGGGGCTTGGATCATGGCTGATCTGCACTAACGCCTCTGGTTCCTGGAGGGAAGCGCGGTTCTCCCACCCAGCTCTGCCTGTCTCCCTCAGGACAGGAGCCAACACATTTCAGCATCAAGCTGCTCTCCTGCTTCTTGGAGAGGGAACGGGGGCCGCATATTGCCCACGCCGCTCTGGGATGGGGTGAGCTGCTGGGTAGCCCTGTTCCTGTTTACCTATCTTCAGAGCCATGTAGGAAGACTCTCTGGGTTTGTGTTACCTCACAAGCCAGACTTAGGGCATATTCTCACTTGTAGTGTGTTTTAAGCACTCTGTGTTATCTGAAAGAGCTCTTGGAACACTGTGTGATAAACGGAAACCCTGCAAAAAGTCATACTTATGAAATAGATGGCATTTACTTTCCAGGAGCAAGTGTAAGTGCAGATTTCTTTGGCGCGAGACAGCTCTTGATAGAGTATCTTAATGTTTAAACTGGTTTCTTCCACCAGGCTGGCTGCCAAGGTTTAAAAAACACTTAAATTATCTTGGCAGAGATCCCTTCCTAGAACTGGCCAGTTGTTTTTGTAATTATAGAGGGAAGTACACTAGCACTTGGCAAAACTCACCATTTGACAGCAGAGCAGTGGTGTAGTTCTCAGTGGGAACTGGTTTTGCATTACTCCCTGATAATAAAAGCTTGTCTTGTCAGTTTCTTTTAAAGATAACAGTTACCATCCTGGCAGCAGTGTACATTCAGGGAAGGAAGGGGTTAGATTTTTCCTAGAAATCACCAGGTAGATAGATACGGATCTTGACCTTACAGTTCACAGGGCGTAAGTATTTTGCTCAGTTTGAAAACGGTTCTTGGAAGCTCCAGGCTAGACCCTCAACATGGCCTCTCCATAGGGCTTGGAGGGAATGGACTGAGCTGAAAGAAAGGGGGCCAGAAGAGAAATCATCCTTGTGTTCCCCTCCCTGCCTCACCTTCCTGTAAGATGCTAGTGCACTGGAGCCAGAGACTTCAACCAGGGCAGTCTGTAGAAGCAGCTTGAAGCAGTATGTGTAAATGAGAATGTCCAAGTGAGGGCTAAACCAGAAAAATCAAAGAGAAAGGTGTTGAAGGCCGGTTTGTTGGAAGAGCTGCCTCTACGCCTTGCCAGGTAAGGCTGACAAACTGCAGCCCTGGCTGCCGCTGAGAGCTGTGGACACCGTGGTGAGAGCGAAGCAGGCTGGCATGCTCCTGCACTGCCACAGACTGAGGGACAGAGGAAATGAAACTGAGGGCTTTGTGAATTCTTCAGTTCCAGCATGATGTGTTTGGTTTTTGCTTTCAGATTTCAAACGGAGCCACCATAAAAGTCTTTAAAAAGAAGGTGACTACCCGATCAGGTAATGAAGGAACTGCAACCTGTTTAATCTTGTGTGGAGAATGGGCTGGGAGTGCAGAGAGCTGAGCTGTGACAGGCTGTATCTTGGTCAATAGAAGGTCAGAAAAACTGGTACTTTGATATAGCTGAATCAAATGAAGAGCCATGTTAGCCTGGCTCTGGGCCTGTGGCAGGCACAGTGGGCCTGGGAAGGGGGAAGAAGGCAAAGAAAAGGACAGAAGGACTTACAGTTGTCAGCAAATAAATACTTAAAGATACAAACTCATAGGCAGGAAAGCAGGGCAGGGAGGCACAGGTGACACAGACAAGACCAACACAGGGAACATGCCCTGCTACGGTGCTTGGTGGTGTGCATCATGGATATAGTGGTGTGCTGTCCAGAGACAGGCATAACAGAAAAATATGGTTTGGGAGCTTTCCTTATTGACTGTGTTTCTGAAAGTTTTGACTCTGCTGTCTCAACAGCAGGTCAGGAGTTAAAGGGTGCTTACAAGGGGTCAGCTCATCTCACCTACCCCTGTGGTGCTGGTTGCTCCCAGCCCAGCTGTGGCTTGGGGGAGGTGGACTTTCTGTAGCCCTTGAGGTGAAACAGACACTCCTAGTGTGTGATTCACCATTGAAGTGGACATCTAAAGTTAGGAGACATGTGTCTCTGAGGTGCAAGTCACTGGATGGCATTGGTCTCTCCCTCAGCAAGAACAGGGCTGTCTGTTCTCAGCCGTTGCTTTCAAGCCCGACCTTAACCCGCCTGCACAGAGTACTCAGACTAAAGAAATGCAATCATCTTGTGTGCTGTCTGTTGTCCTCGTTTCAGAGGAGCTGCAATTTGCTGCCAGCTTACTCCAGCAGCAGATGATGATGCCCTAGCTTAGTGGTCAGAGCTACAGGTTGGCACTGGGGAGGTGAGCCAGGACCTGTGCGTTCCTTGGAAGGTTCCCCACACTGCAGGCAGGAAAGCATGATGCTGAGCCTGCTGGCTGGGCATCCTGGCATGAACAGCCCAGAGCCCAGCAGAATTCACAAGATTGTAGCTGTGTGTTTCATTAATGCCTCTTTACTCTCTGCTTTCTGTTGTTTAGATGTGGACTACTCAGATGAACACTGTCATTTGGTGAGTTCAGTCATTACACTGTTAAGTGATGGATTTAATACTGAGCTGTATTTGTATCTGTGTAATCTCTTTAATCTCTTTGCGACAGATTTTACCAGACTCCGAAGCAAACAAGGATGTGAAAGGAGCAGGTCACAAGGGAAAGCAAAAATTCAAAGTGAAAGAAATGTATCTGACAAAGCTTCTGTCAACCAAGGTAAACTGTAAAGGCCTTGTTTTGAAAAAGGGCTAATGTTAGGTTTGGGTAGTTTGCCCCAACAGAAATAGAAATTAAAGCAGAAATTACACAACTTCCTGTACGTATAACACTGTGCTAACTATGGATTGTGCCCGTTTGCAGAGACAGACACATTCCAGGTTTTCTAATGCTAGAGTTCTAAAACTGTCTACTACTCGCACTACCTGCTCAGTAAGCACAACCTTGCTTCCCAGGTCAAAGAAAAAAGGTAGTTACTGAGCTTATAGAGAGTGAATTTTGCCAATGGGCCCCATAGGGTGTGAACAATCCCTTCTGGAGAGACAGTTTAGAGTCAACAATCTCCTGACTTTCTACTAGAATTTGCGCAGCTTAGAGACAACTGCCAAGACCTGAGTTCCACAAAATACTGCTTATGAAAGTAAATCTTGTAGGGTCTCAAATTAAGCACCCAAAATAACTACATTAATTTCAAAAGCAAGGTACTTAGGATTTATAATACAAATACCTAATATATACAATGCACACTCCTTAGGAATAAGCCTTGCTCTCTGCCTCCAGTTGCTGACTTACTCAAAAGGGTTATAAAACTCTTTGCAGCAGTATATTAAAATATTAATCAGTGCACAACACTGAGAGCTGTGTGATACAAGAGGCCAGGAGGATGGTGATTATGGCCGCCTTGCATTTAAAAATCTATCAATCATTATTTCAGACTGGTCATTTCTCATTAGCTGTGGAAACTAACAAAAGCCCTTAGGTACTGCTGGAGTAAACCAGTAATGTCTTATTGTGGAAGACTGGAGTACAAAAGAAAAGATCAGGCTCTTAGGAAACAGTCCTTTTAAAAGGTTTTGAATTAATCATCTCATTCTCCAAAGTAAGATAATGCTCCAAACAACAGTGCTGTGATATCCTCACTGTGAAATTCCACCCTTAATGCACCCTGCATTAAAGGAAATTGCATAGAACTGCGTCTCTCTCCCTCTCACCCATACATGCACACAGAAGCAATTGAGGAGTTTGCAACATGAAATGAACTGTTCACTAGCACATCAAGGCCCTGGGATACACTTGAGTCCTTCTTGCAGAGAGAAGACTGAGCTGAACCGAACTTCATAATGGATGTGAATTAAAAAACACAAGTGTTCTGCTTTGTTTGTCTCTATGAATACTCTGTGATGATGTTAGTGAGTCCATCATCAACCAAGCCCTTGCATTTGTGAGCCAAATAGCTTCACTTCTGGACCGGAAATACCCAGTTTTCAGCTCTTCTCTGTAATACTGTGTGCCACTCAAAGCTGTTATTCCTGAATTAGATCAAGCGCCACAGTGGCTTGGCTGTGAAGTGTTGATGCGCACGTGTTCAACATGTGTCACAGATGGCACCATGAAGACTAGTGCCCCAGAAAACTGGTTAAACTACTTTTGCTCACTTCCCTCTTATTTCTGGTCACAAGTTCCAAATGCCTTTAGCAACGGTGCCCACTGCATCTGAAGAGATGATGTCTTTGTTGGAATGAGTGATTCCTTCCACCTACGATTTATCACAGAGTTCACCACAATTCTCATGTAGGTAAAGTGATAGGATGTGTGACTTGTGAAAGCAGCTCATTATGGTGTATTTGGTTTCTTTTTTGGCATTGTCTCTCTTGTTTACCAGTAACCTCTGAGCTTGGTGTTTGCCACAAGTGTATTGTAGTTCCTGTGTGTGGTTACCTTGGGGCACACTCAGTGCCCTGAGACAAGAAATCCAGTTCTTTTCTTTTGTAACAATGGCACTGTTCCTTTTCTTACTTTTCAGGTTGCAATTCATTCTGTTGTTGAAAAGCTCTTCAGGAGCATTTGGAGTTTACCCAACAATAAAGCACCAGTTGCCATCAAGTACTTTTTTGACTTTCTGGATGCCCAGGCTGAGAGCAAAAAAATTACTGACCCTGATGTGGTCCACATATGGAAAACCAACAGGTATGCCCTTATACACCCAGGAGTGTGTGCACCCTCTGAAAATGCAGTGGCAAAGGTAGAACAGGTCAGCTGTCATCAGAAGAGTAAGATTTTGGCATGTCTAGGTGAAGATGTGGTTTGGCTTTGTGGATCCCAGTAAATTTAGTATGTTGATTTTTCTAATTTTAGTATATTGCTAGGACACCAGTACAAACCACCACAGCTTCCAGGCCTTCTAAGTCTGCATGCTGACTTCATGCTCAGAAAGATGTACCTGCAGGTTGAGAGCATTATTGAAAGATGGAAAGCTGACTGACTGATGTGTGTGCTCCCTGCTCCCTTTGTTCCCTGATCCCTTTTTTAACATGAATAGGCAGACGAGAAATGTGCTACCCGAGTGGTTAATTTTAAACATGCTTGTTCTTTCTCAGTCTTCCTCTTCGCTTCTGGGTGAACATACTGAAGAATCCCCAGTTTGTCTTTGATATTAAGAAGACTTCACATATAGATGGCTGTTTGTCTGTAATCGCACAAGCTTTCATGGATGCCTTTTCTCTAGCTGAACAGACACTGGGGAAGGTAATGCTGCCCTACCAGTCTTTTGCTAACTTCTTAATCAATGTCTTTATCAACTCTGTAATGATTTAGGAAATGGATGTGCTGACACTGGGGGCAGAACTGTCTGGTTTAAGCTGGGTTTCCATTCTCTGTTGCTCCTTCTCACAAGACTTTGAAGAATTCACTGGAGTGAACAGATAGAGCTACTAGAATGCCTTATTTATAGTTAACTGCTGCTTGTCTTCTCTGCAGTTAGTTTCTGCACAGTGTTTATAGAATATGTGGAAGAGGGTGGAAATTGGAAGATCTTGATGAAGTTTTAAAGAATTTTGAAGCTAAAGTCTAGAAAGTATTAACATAATTTCATTAGTCCAAATTTTGTCTGCCATACACCAATGTGCAGGAAGCACACATAGTAAGCTACTGGCTGCTGTAAGAATACTTGAAAGAGCTCTGAAGTTTGAAACAGTTCCTTTCACATGTATTAGCTGCCCTCTTTTTATATGCAAAATTATTTGCTGGAGTAGCAAGTCCAGAAATCTTACATTCAAAAGCTCTTTAGTACATTGTCCGGAACTCCAGGGATCAGAAATACTTCATTTTTCCCAAGGATATTTTTCTTTTCTTTGGACCACAGCAGGAAGCATTTGTTCAGGCTCATGCTACCAAGAAATACAGGCTAGAGATTTTTTAGCCTAAAAATATGTATATAAAAATGGACTAATTCCATGTGTGATCTGAACCAACTGCTCATCTGTTAAATAATGTGCATATTTATCTTACTTTAGGAGTGAAGTATCATGAATTGAAACTAATCACGTCACTTAATGCAAAAACTACAAATGAGCATGCTCTGTTAGGTTTCTGTGCTGAACATCCATTGTGAAGTACTGTTGATACAACAGCTCCCGTTAGCCATTTGTAAAGGGATGCTGAAACCTGATAAAGGTTTGCAACGCAGTAAACATCCTGTGGCCTTTTAGTACTAAAATGTATTTACTTTCATGATTTAGCCTTTTACCTTAAAGGTCTTTAGACACTTAGAAAACAAACATTTAAATCAGTTCATCACATGGTGGAAACAGTAGTGACAAGGTATCACATGGCTGTGTCGTCTGTTCCCCAGAATTTAAACTAGAGCAGTGACAGGAAACTACCAGCCCCCACTTTTACATTCTGAAAACATGGTTTCCAGGTGGGGCTTCAGCTCCTACCACAACCATCAGCACTTTTTTTCCTCAGATGAGCCCTGAAGCCCTGGGGAAAAAATCAATCCCTTTGGCTGTGCATGTGTGGCAGTCAGCTCTATGTGCCTGTGAACCCCTGAGTGAAAGGAGAAGGGACCAAAGAGTTTTAGGTGATCCTCTGCTGGGACAGGATCTAGCATGTTACCCTAGGGGAACTTTCCCCAGCAATACTGTATCCTGTGTGTAAATTCAGGTGCCAGCCTCAAGCCTTTTGGTTCAGCTTTCACAGTCTAAGGAGCAGTGAGGAGGAAGAAAGAAAGAAAAATATGTCTAAGGGACAAATGTTCAGCACTCGTTATGTCAATAATTATATGGCAGCTGTCATGAAACACAATGCATTATTCCTGAGGTCTTGCATCTGTGGTTCATCTTTATTTCAACCTTGATTACTTGCATATAACCACTGCAAAGAGAAATGAGTCACACAGAGAACAGACACAATTAGATGCAATTAACTGTGTGGAGGTGGAACCTTAGGAAATCTGTGCTGTGAAAATTGACAAAGCTTCAAATATTTTCTTTTAAGGAAGCACCAACAAATAAACTTCTCTACGCTAAGGACATTCCACACTACAAGGAAGAGGTGAAAGCATACTATAAAGCCATCAGGGATCTGCCTCCACTGACCACTTCAGAGGTTGAGGAATTTCTAACTCAGGAATCTAAGGTATGGCTGAGAAGTGGCAACTTCATTTGATTTCATGTTAAGGTTTTTAAAAAGGAGAACTATCTGAACAGAACTGTTTTCTGTTTTAGAAACATGAAAATGAATTTAATGAGAATGTGGCCTTGAATGAAATCTACAGATACATAGCAAAATACCATGAGGAGGTAAGCATGTCTGCTATTCCTACTTAACCCCTTAATGTCAACTTGCTACCTCAGGCTTGAAAGTTGGGCTTGACAAAGGGCTGGCCTGATGTGTGAGCCACTGAGTGCCACTCCAGAGACAGTCCCTCTGTGGTGCAGCTGAAACTGCTCCTCCTGCTGAGCTGAGCAGCCCTGCAGTGGCTGGAGCCCCCACCTCACAGAGTGGTCACAGGCCAAAAGTTTGAAAATGCACCTTTACTGTCACCAGTATGTTTCACGGAGACAGTAGCAGTAAAATTCTCCCCGCAGTTTTGAGAAGGTTCCTGTGTAAGCCTAGACTTCCTGTTTCACTGTGCGTGCAGGGTATCTGCTAACGCCTGTCACAACTCCTGTGCGTGCGCTCCACTTCCCTGGAGATCCAGAAATCAGATTAGACTGTAGCACCAGGGATCTCGGTTTAACAGTCAGTACAAACACCTCAGCGGAGCACACTCAGCCTTACAGCAAGAGATGTCTGCTCCTTTCCCATCATAGCTCTCTTGCGGTCTGCTCTAATAGTCTTTCTCTAGAAGAAGCTCCAGCTTCCAGTCACTGCAAATGCTAACCAAATTTTTCTCAACTGAAAGCATTTAGTCACAGGCTACCTCTAAGCAGCTTTGTAAGAAAATCCCTGCCCTCTGCTTTGCATTGTAGGGTTCTCCACTCCATTTTGCTCAGCATCCTTAACAGAGGCTGCATGTGTCTACGCAGGGAGGCAGATAAGAGCCAGCTGGGGTGTGTTGCCTGAAAGCCTCGTTACCACTTCCAGCAGGTTGTCTGGGTCTCCCAGCAACCAGACCTTGCTCTCTTTCATGCCCAGCAGCACAGCATCAGCACTTACTGTAATCATCCAGCTCTCAGTCACCTGTTAGCTAGCTTACCACTTCAGATCTGTAACATCTCAAATTATCTGGGTTCAGCATCACATCTTCACCTCTTAAAAGATGCTTGGGATGACACTCAGAGTGCTACTACACTTTATTGAGCTCATTAAGATTGTTGGTAGAGGAGATGTCAGAATACTTTCTAATCTTGTTGCCCATTTACTTCTATTTTGAATCTATTACTGGCTAAACTTACCCCATCCTTAGAAGGAAGCCCTCCCTCTGCTCTTCCCCCTCTGGCTTTTGACTGGGAGCAGCTAAACCTCATTCATAGTTCGCTGAGACCTCAGTTGCTTTGTAGAGTTGCCAGTAAAGTTTCCAGACAGTAGGAGTGCTCCTTCCCATGGCCTGGGCTGGTGCCAAGTGGGACAGTTAGAGGAAGAGAGGCAGTTTGCCCTCAGGGTATAGGGCAAAGGAAGAGATCATTTGCAGATCTGCTCTAGGCTAAAAGCGGAGCACTGGCCTCGCCTTGCCTCACACTTGAGGGATGAACATGTGTTGGATTTGTTTTGGGTTTTTTTGCTTGGCTCTGTCATTCTTTTTGCGGAAGTGTTGCAAATCAAAATGACTTGAAAGGAAAACTACCAAAATAAAGTGTTAAAGTCAGAAAAGAATGTTTGCATATAGGGAGGCATTCAGATGGATTTTTCTGCCAGTAGTTGTTAGAATGCAGAAAAGCAGGCTCTAAAAACCAGCAAGCAAAATAAGCACTGAAAATATGATTCTCTTCTCTGCTAATTGTTAACAGATTGACAGCAAACTCGAGCGAGAACGGGGGCTTGAAGATGTCCAGAAACAGCTCCGGCAAGTAAAAGCCTTATTTGATGAAAAGAAAAAATGCAAATGGATTTGAGCAGAGCTCTGACTCACAGCGTTGCTGTGGGGGATTTTAAATAAGCGCTATTGCTCCCAAAACTGTTCTGACTGACTCTATGTACAGGGTTTGAAACATTTGGACACTCTTCTCCACTCTGACTATTCCAAGTAATACCTACATTTGGGAGTGAAGTACGGGCAGGGTTACGTATTCAAACATGGGCACATGAAAGCAAAAGTGTGTCTAGCGTTGGCAGGGCCAGCATTTTTAGGTGTTTGAACACACATACATACCTTTTGGTTCCAAAATACTGCCTAAGTGAGCTTTCTGCTTACTTAAAAACAAGCTCATAGAGGATGTGCAACACATCCCGTGTGGACTTGTAAGTTGTTTAGCTCTTTTTTTTGTAAGAGAGAAAGCTGATGTTTCACCACATCCTCTTCAGTAGCCTTGACGAACTGTGAGGATGAGCTCTGGCTTCAGAATACGGGTCAGCAGCAGTTTCCTTCCCTACAGACAAATGTACACTGGTTCCTGTTCAGGGGGAAAAAAAAAAACACACACAAAACAGCACCAAAGTGACACTTATGACAAGTAGGTTTAGCAGAAAAAGTGGGTCTTAGGTTTGAAGGGCAAATGCCATATGGCAGGACTTACTTACCTTCCCTAGGTTAGGAATTTCACATCCAAAGTGAAGCGAACCACTGAGCTTGGGGAGAGGCTTTTGGAGCAAGGCACTAGCTCGGCATCAGTCTGTGTTTACATTTCTACCGTCCCATCCTTAAATAAGCTGTGACACACTCGTGAGCAGCTTCACATGTGCAACCTGTGTGCAGCTGCACCGCATCAGGCCACCCCTGCCATTTGATGAGGCAGCTCACGAGGGCTGCGCTTCAGTGCACAATCCTGCAGCCGTGCTGACAGTCCTGGCCAGTCTTGCCATCCATGTACAAGGGCCTCACAGATCTAAAGCCAGCATATTTTTGTTTCAAGCTTTGTCAAAAAAGTGTTAGTTTAATACTATGTGAGAACCAGAGGGGTGGTGTAACCTCTGTGTATGAGAAACTGCTATAAACATGAGAGCTGGATTTGGGGAGGCGTGATGGACTCTCTGCCTTAGTCCTGCTGGGGTGTTTTTGAGGCCTGGCCAATTTAGGAGGGCATCCATTACATTTGCATTGGTGGTTAAAGCCACCCCTGCTGGAGAGCAGGTGCGTGGCCATGCTGCTGAGACAAGGCTGGTGCAGTGGCTACTGTGCAAAGCCACAGCAGCTCTGGCTCTGCTGCCACACCAGCACAGTCCTGCCCTCCACTACAGAGCTGAAATTGTTAGTTGCCATGGGCTCTGCTTCAGTCACAGGGAGGCACATAAGGCTACTACCTGCCCTTAAGTTTCAGGTAAGGCATTGACAAGCCAGAGCTACAGTTTTCAGAGAGCTCTGCCACTGGAGGCAAGTGGCATAACACAGTAGCCCACAGAAGCAGGAAGAGCTGTCCCTGTCTCAGTGAGGCTGCTGTGGCACATGTGGCCCAGGTGTAGTATAGAAAGCCTGTGCTGGGCTGTGACCAGCCGTAGAGTTGCCTACTGGTCTGCCCCTCCCTACAACATGATTGCACAAGTTGTACCTCTTGCATATCAGAGAGGGCAGCCACCAACCCATACTGTGATGGCTTTTGTTTTTGTTTTTTAGTTTTAAATTCAAGTCTTTCTTACACTTGCTATTAAGTTTACACTTTATACTTGATGGAATGTATGGCTTTGTTCAGGAAACTGCACTACGACGTTGCAGTACTTTCAGCAGTTCTCTTCACTGCCTGGCACAATATATTTTGATAACTTTTAATTTTAATTGAGAAAAAACCCCACTCCCAATCCTAACCTATCTTGCCCTCTGTCCTAAAGGAATGGCCCATGGCTTGAGTAGCACTTAAGCTTAGAATACCTGTACTTAAGGGCTTGATTTTTATCATTCTTAACCTAACACTTTAAAGCAGCAAATAACTAAAGCACAGTCATTAATATTAAAGAAGGGGCATGAGCACATTGATTACTCTTTCCATTCAGCCTGAGATCTCAGCAGTTCCGTTCCACTTCAGGTGTTCGCTGGCAGTGCATTGGGATGAACTGTGATAGTTTTGTTCAACAGTAACTTTCTGTACAGGCAGAAAACTAAAACCTAAGATTTCTGCTTGGGGGAAAAGAAAGAAAAAAAAAGAAAAAGAAAAAAAAACCCCTGTAAAATATAATCTGTTTGCGTGGGTCTGATCCTGTGAACTTCACTCTGTGTGTTTATATCATGAGGGAACAAAAATCAGTCCTCTTCTGTATTTGTACTACTGCTTGTTTGCTACAATAGCTTTAATGATTTCTAGAGATTAAGTATGTGTTGAAGCAGGCCGTGTAGCTTTAGCCTACAGCCTGGAATAGGATTACTGCCTTTTATTCAAGCCTCCTCAACAGCGTCACTCTGTTAGTAAACCATTTAAAGTCATGCTGGGACTTTGTAACCCATCAAGTGGATCTCACGAAGTGATGTGAAATATAATGAAGTGATTGTGGCTCTTTTTGGTAGGTTTGGGTCAGCACACAAAACATTGGCACACCTTCCATATCTGCACCATGCTCTTACCATTACACAGCTCTCAGTAAAGCTGTATTATGGCAACCCAACAGTTCTAGCAGCAGTCTCTGAAAGGAAAGCAAACTTGTCTTTCTTTAACTTATTTTCACACGTTTACAGGCAAACTGCTACGGCAAACAGTGTATTTTCTAACACTAGCTTACAGAGCATTACTTTGCAGTCATCTAGTTTAAAGTCAAGTCTTACTAATGTGTAAAGTAATTCCTGTTGTACAGAAGTTAACCTGTTGTTTAAAATGAATGGTTAAAAAAAAGTGCAAATGACAAATACATGTTGGTGTTTGTATGGGTTTATCTAGAATAAAATGCATTTGGAGGTTATTTTGATGATTGACTTGTGTTCTTTGAAATGGTTAAAAGCAAGCAAGCACAGCCTGTAACAATGCTGAGGTCATGCAAGGAACGGAGTGTAAGACACCCAGTGGCAGCCCCATGAGGCTCCAAAGCAGAAAGCACCACACAGGTCAAGACCGTGTGTGACAAACCTCTTCTGTCACTCTGAAGTTGGAAGGTACTGAGCTGCCATGACCACCTCTGGGAAGCAGCAGTGGCCAGCGGCAGGCTGAGGATGCAGCACCCACTGCCCTTCCCCCCAGCCTTCAGTGACCACCACGTCACTGCTTCAAGGTGCTGAGGCTGATGATACTTTTAAAAGCTACAAGTGTTACGAAGATAACCAATCACCCTGCTTTCAGGAGAGGCTGCTGCAGGGACAGGTAATTAACTCTTGTGCAAAGAGCCAGAACGTGCAAGGAGCCCACCATCCAGAAGGTAACCATCATTCTTCGCCTGGTGGTTACTCTTTTTGTGCCACTCCAATGCTTCCCCTCATTTGTATAAACTGCCCTCCCTGTCCCCCAACATCAGCTGAAGTCCTACTGAAGAGTACAGGCGAGGTCAGGGTCAGGGCCCAACATGCAAGGCTGCCATGAGCCAATTCTTGGCCCCCGTTGCACGCTGGTAAACCATAGCAAGCCTCAGGTTGGGCAAAGCCAGCTCAATCCCAGAGCCTTATTAATCTTGTAGGAGGAGAGGGTAGAAATAGCTGCTGTTACTTCCCATAGAATCGCAGAATCAACTAGGTTGGAAAAGACCTTCAAGATCATCAAGCCCAACCATTGCCACCACTAAACCATGCCACTAAGGCCCTCATCCACACATTTTTTGAACACTTCCAGGACAGTGACTCCACCACTTCCCTGGGAAGCCTGTTCCAATGCCCGACAACCCTTTCAGGGAAGAAATTGTTTCTAATACCCAATTTAAACCCTCCCTGCCACAGTTTGAGGCCATTACCTCTTGACCGATTGCTTGTTTTCTTGGGAGAAGAGACCCTCACCTTGTTCCATCCTCCTTTCAGGTATCTGTAGAGGGCGATAAGGTGCCCCCCTGAGCCTTCTCCAGACTAAACAACCCCAGGTCCCTCAGCTGTTCCTTGTTCTCCAGACCCTTCACCAGCTTCATTGTCCTTCTCTGGACCTGCTCCAGCAACTCAGTATCTCTCTTGTAGTGAGGGGCCCAGAACTGAACACAGGATTCGAGATGCAGCCTCATTACACTGTTTTCCTCAGAAAAGTCTAGCAAATTCCCCAAGAAAGTTGTTCCCCACGTTCCTTACCGTCGTGTGCTGTATGGAAAATCAAAAATGCAGCAGCTGGAGAGAAGAGCCAAATCAATGACCAGGTAACCATGTGCAGTGTGGTTACTCAGCCATCTGTTGCTACAGGCTAGTAATGATACCAAATGGCAAAACAAAAAAACCCTAATCT